CGCCTCCGTCACTTTCCGTTAGCATGTCTGGGCTTGGCGCACGATGTACGAAAAGCGGCATATCGGCCTCCAAGCCTTTCGCGTCTATTGCGTTGAGTATGTATGGTGTTAGGCCATGAAGATGTGGCCATGCCTCACACAACAGAAGCGGTGTGATTCCTTGATCTGAGGTGGCTTTCGGGTCGGCGCCCCACTCCAGGAGAAGTTTCGCGGCTTCCTGGCAATTATTCTCAATGGCCGCCATCAGTGGAGTCCAAGAATCGAACGTTTTGTCGTCTAATTCGCTGTTCTTCTCGTGAAGCAGTCGAAGGATGTTGACTGAACCACCTCGCGCTGCGCGATAGAAAGGCGTCGAGCCCGAGGAGCTTCGCGACTTGACTGATGCGTTGTGATCCAGCAGCAAGGCCACCACCTTTTCGCAACAATTCTCTGCTGCGATATGCAATGGGGTAAGTCGCTTCTCTCCTCGGATCACGTCTACATCCGCTCCCATATCCAAGAAATATTGCGCCAGTTGGACATGATCAACACTTGCGGCCACATATAGGCAGGTATGTATGTTGCCATCAGAAAAGGATTTGTTGAGGCCATCGAGGCGAGGAATCAAGTCATCGACAAGTACCCCCAGATTCTCGGAAATGGCAAACGTCAATGGAGAGGAAGTGTTGACGTCAATCTCTGCAGACCATTCAGCAAAAGCACCCACGGTGGGAGAGAAAATACTTCACAAACCTCGACGAGGGCCCCGACGAAACGATTGCCGCAGTGCAACATCATTGTCCGCAGGCTTTATAACCCGTTTCCAAAAGTTGAATCTTTGGGGATTATCGTCAGCGTTCATGAACCACGCTAAATGTTGTGTCACTTGGCGTATGCTGTGCTTGTCCGAGGACAGTCGACTGAGTTGGAGATGTGAAGCCCAGTATTTAGCGGCGTATTTCAGAAACTCATATTGCCCCGAAGCAGATTTAAACACTTCCCTTTCGTCATCGAAATTGGAAAGCGAAAGGTACTGAAGGCAAACAAGGGCAGCTGAGGCATGAGCGTTGACTTCCGTGAAATGGAACGTGTGTGCTGCGGTATTCAATATGTTTTTGCCCGTAAGGAATGCCCTGATCGTGGCGTGTTGGAACTCCATGGCTGGTTCTCCAGGCTCCCTCTCTGTACCCTCTGGGTACAGACTGTAAGGACGTAAGACGTTGCTAATCAGGGGACTGATGGGTTCCATGATATGATGGGGCGACATCATACGGCCAGGGTCGAGATGCGTATCGTCCGGTTCAATGCAAATCACCTCAACTAGCTGAGAAGGAGTAAGTGGAACGATACTGACCGCAAGCCACTGGAGGGTCTGCTTGAGTTCAGGCTCTGTGGTTGGGTAAACTTCCGCGATAGCCTTCAAAACCTCGCCGTATAAGTCATCAAGAGTGTTCGGGAGATGTCTCAAGGCATTGCGTCGTGCACAACCGTTTTTTCGAGACCTTTGAAAAACATGTGCAATCTGCAGCTTTGCCTCCTGAATCCTAGAGAAACATTTAGTGTGTTGCTCATAGATGTTCTAGCATGAAGCTTACGTTGTTGCTGTGCTGAAAATACGTTCTTCAATGTCACTCAAAAGCCTCTCATCCCTTATACAAATACGTTCGGATGTAATGGTTCGATCCACTTCAGCCGATATAAACGTGCCCAAGTCGACTCTGAGGCCGTTTTTGCAACGCTGAAGATCCAAACACACTGCTCGATCATACAACCCTTCTCTAATTGTGGCATCATTTCGACTTGTAATCAAAACCTTTCGCTCGCTTTTTCGCTTGTCAGATGATTTGGGATCTGGGCCTAGCGGCCTAAGAATTTGGCCTAGGATCTCCATGAACTCTCGTTTTTGGTTTCCATCGAAAGAACTGACTTCATCTATGGCGTCGACAATCACAAAGGTACGATGGGTCGTTCGGATAAATGCGTCGATCAATGAGTCGTACTCGCTGGCCTGAAGTTGAAAGCCTCTCTTTTCATCGTGCTTCCGCGCTGCAAGTTTGAAACACCGATCTGAAGACAAGACAAACTGAGCTGCCATAGACATGCGGAAGTGATCAGCTGGTGTCTGCTCGAGGTGATGGGCATGACTGCAAAAGAAGTACACAACCATCTGGTTTGGTCCAGAGACTTGGGACTGCATGTGTTCGACCATTGTAGCGCTGCCATAATATTAGATCTTGATCACCAGCAAACGTTCATTTCAGTCTTGTCTCCCACTCACCATAGAAATGATTTGCCAGCTCCAGCTGCACGAAGTCTGAAGTCAGTAATCTATAGCAGATGACCATTATCCTCCCTCCTAGAGTCGATACTTACGAAGCCCTGTCATCCAGAGTAAACCCGACTCTCCTTCCTGCATCCAGACTTTGACTGGTTCGAGTTCCGTTACCCAGCTCCCCGTATTCTTACAACGACGAGAAAGTTTGTCTTGAAGAGCGGCCTCTGCCACTATGTGATCCGAAGGATACAACCATTGCGCAACGTCCCGTCTCTTCTCTTCGAGTAAATTGTCTTCTATACGACCAAGAGCCTCCCTGTAAACAACGTTTATTTACTACCAATTCTGGTTTTCATGTTGGTAAAAGAAATCAAATACATGTCAGTAAGCCTAGGAAGAATGAACAATGAATACAAGTCACAAAACCACTTACGACTGGTCGAATTGTATCGCAGCAGTGATGGCGCCCCGGTGATGTTTGAGGCGTTTGATAACTTTCTTGAGGTCCTTGCCTTGAAAGGGCCATTTCAACGCCCGAATCCCAAATTTGCGCATTGCTCTGTGTGCTGTGCTTGGTTGAAGTTTCTCCTTAATCTCTTCCAGCTCAGGGTTGGTGTCCCCCAGGGCATCACTTAGCTGTCTGAGATTCTTCAGTCTGTCGGGATTTGGGCCATCGAGACCCTTTCTTATCGTGTTCGCAAGGTCTTCAAGTGCACGTATCTCCTGAATGACCTGGCGAATATCCTCCTCTGCGTTTGCGACCTCTTTCAGGTATTTGTAACAGGAGCCGAGGATTGTTGCTGTCAACTGGCCGACAGCAATGGCACTGCCAGCAATCCCTGGTTCTGCCGCCATGAAAGAATTCTATGAGAGGCTATGCTGATAGCAGAATGGGAGATGGAAAGGGGGGAGGGGGCTCTTGCGGCGTTTAAAGGATTGGCGACCCAAATGGTTACAGGTGAACAAAGAAGACACTTACACCAGAGAAGTAACAACCAATAGACTGCCAAGGGCGATGAGGCACGTCATGCGATGCAGGTGGACGTCAATAGTTACACCTAGGCTTGTTTTTCTCGTAATGATGCTGGTTATTGGCACTTCGACGGTCAGCAGCCTGATGATCGCCCAGACACCCAAGTGAGAATCTGCAGGCCGTCAACGGCTCATCATGCAGGCAGTACAATGGAAATAACCAGGACCCTGAGCCCAGTGCGTGATACCTACTGAGACCCAGGCCTGTTGTTTCCGCGCGGGAATTGGGCTCAAGCCTTTTATTAACCTAGTGAAAGACCAATTGAGTATAGTAGACCACATACTTACTGTTTCTGTCAACCATGTCAGGATGATACGCAAACTTCCGCGAATGACGCCTAAATATTCGATTCACGTGGTGACATAGGTATGATCAGGCAGCGCCAATTCGATGCCTCATTGGGTTGAGGGGTAATATCTATTAAATGCGGTAATCAATATATTTGTGCCTAGACCCCGAAGGTGCCGATCGTTTAGCTTCAGTTCACTAAGTACCTCTCTCCATTCGCAGCGTACCAGTAGCGCCCCTCCACCAAGTGACGGTTTCCTCAAGCCTTGTGCATGGTTGCCGCAAATGTCGTAATTCACAAACGGTCGCCAAAGCGCCTCCTCCGATCAACATGAGACAGGATCCTCTATGCTTCCTCTATGGGCAAACATCACCAAGAAAGGCCAGTCAAGGCACCTGTAGTACCTGAACTTGGAGCTCGATGCAACATCGACATCTATTCCGTAACCTGCAGGGGCAGATCCAATGTCGATAAGCAGATCTTCGCTTCTCCTACTACGTTTGGGGCAGGACAAACCGAGTTTGGATTTAACTACTATGTAAGGTAACGAACAATATTTGAACATCCGATGCTACCCAGATGAGTCGGGTTGGTACCCAAAGATACGAATGAATCGCGTCCAACCCTCAAAGTATCGCTCGGAATTCCAGTGTTTTCGCTCTACGTGGCAGAACTCCAGGCATAAGTGCCTTGGTTCATACCAAAACGTGACGACTAAATTGGCCCCGTTGCTCAAATCTATGCAACCACAACCTGAAGTGCAGAATTGACCACTAACTGTAACTAAGCCGTCTGTGTACCTACCTGAAGCCCGTGCCACCTGTCTTCCCCGTCTCGCCGTCTTGCCGAACCCCCGCTCGGATCTCCGGTATCAACCCGGCAGCCCCTTGCTTAGCGTCTAGCTCTCAGTAAGGTTCAAGACATGTCACAATTTTTGGCGTTAGCACATGTTAGCCTGCTACTGCAACAGCTTGCAAGAGGCAGTGGCAGCAACCACGCAGCGGGGTTAGCAACACCAAAGGCCACCAGCGATAAGAGCTTCCGTGCCGTAGCTGCGTATCAAACAAACCTTCTCATCTGGTTGGGTTCACGCTTATTCATCTCAAGTCGGCCAAGCCGAACTTTGTCTAAGCTCCGACAGCTACCATTGGGCTAGTGCAGCTACAAATGTTGATTCGCTGGGAGCTGCGGTAACCAGTTGGTATGCGAAGCGAGCGGCTCGGTCTCAGAACACCGATAGGGTCCCATCGGTGAGCTCGGCCTGGTAGACGTCATGGAGGGCACGCAGGAAAGTGTTTTAGACCAGGCCCATAGCATTCCTCTACCCCTCTCATAGGTAGGATAATAATAAAGCGAAGCTTTTCACCACTCGCCATCATTTTATGTTATTCTCACGCTGATACGTGCAGGATCATTCATACATCATGAAGACCACTAACAGACCCGATGAATGGAAGATTGAGCAGGGCCTGGCTGGGGCTGAGCTTCCTGTCCTTGACATGACGGGACCCCAGACCAACGCCCTTCCTCCTCAGATCTTTGGTGACCTGACGAAAGATGAGGCCGCCATCAAGAGTGTCGGTGACCCTAACAAGCTCTTTAATGAAGAGCGTGAAGGGTGGACTGGGTGAGCAGCAATCGGTCATGATGATGTTCTTCCATTAAACATTCTTTTGCGATCGCTGACGGAGTTCAACCGCACAGCTTCGTCGAGTGGGAGAACTATCCCGAGAAAAAGGCTGCCGCCCACAAGATCTTGACCTCGCAGACGTTCCCTCCCAATCCCGAGTTCCAGCTTGGCCCGATCCCAGCGACAAATCCTGTGCTTCCTGGTACCCATTGGAAGATGTGGCATAAGGCGGTCGGCGGCGCTCTTTCTCGCATCCCCGACGACTCTTGGGACATCGTCCTCAAGGAGAAGCACGCCGACATGCTCCATCTTCTCCAGTTTCCCTACAATGGCGAACCTCCAAAACGCCTCGTGACCGACAAGGAGATCACCCCGAACCCCCTACACTTCGTGCGAAATCACGGCGGTATCCCAATTATCGATAAGGAACACTACAGCTTCCTCCTGGACGGTCTCGTCGCGAACCCCAAGTCTTTCACTCTCGACGACCTCATGGACGAGACCAAGTTCCCGCGCATGGAGAAGACTATCACAATGCAGTGTTCTGGAACCCGACGCATTGAGCAGATCCTGAAGTACCCCGGCCAGGGCGACGAGGTACCCCAAGCTCCTTGGGCAGAGGGCGCGATCGGCACTGCCAAATACGTCGGAATCAGTCTCAAGAAGGTGATCAAGGCTTGTGGTGGACTCATTGAGGGAGCCAAGCACCTCGAATTCTATGGCGCGGACACCTACTTCAAAGACGATAAGACCATGAACTACCTCGTTAGTGTTCCTTGGTCCAAGGTCAAGGCCAATGAGGTCATGCTGGCCTGGGAGATGAACGGCGAAGTCCTCCCGCGTATCCATGGATATCCCCTCCGCATCGTCGTCTTCGGTTACATCGGAGCTCGAAGCGTGAAGTGGCTTTACCGCATCAAGGCCATCAAGAACCCCACTCGCGCGCCGGTCCAGAGCCAGGAGTACCTCTACTTCCCCCAGCAGGTTGGCAAGCACAACTTCAAGCTCACGGATGGCATCCAGATTCAAGAAATGCCAGTCAGCTCGGCCATCATGTCGCCCTGGACCAAGCAGGTCGTCATCCACAACGGCAAGATCCGCTGCAAGGGATGGGCCTACTCTGGTGGTGGACGCTGGCCGGAGCGCGTTGAGCTTTCGTCTGACGGAGGCTTTAACTGGTACACAGTCCCAGTTGAGAATCTCTCAAAGAAGCGCAAGTGGACCTGGAGAACTTGGGAGATGGATCTGCCCTGCGATGTTGAGGGCTGGATTGAAATTGTCTGTCGCTGCTGGGACAATTCTCTCAACACCCAGCCGCCTGATGTCCGCACTGCATGGAACTGGGGCCTGCATGTCACCAGCTCCTGCCATAGAATCTCGGTTTACAGTGTGAACAACACCCGACCGAAGACCAACGCCCGCCTTCAGGAGTTCGCAGACAAGGGTATTCCATTTGCCCCAATCACTGTTCCGCTCGCTTTCCCATCTCAGAGTTGGGATGATTATGAAAAGTATTGGAAGAGTCACGATCCGAGAGACGCCGAGGATGAGTAAACCGGCTCCGATCTATGATGCCAGTTTTTCTTCGCGGTGGCCTTCGTGAGGAGCTGCGTCCATGTCATATGGGCGCTATAACATGAACACAAAAACAATAAAACAATGAACCAAAAAATGTGGCGAAATCTGGAGTCCCCTCGCATCGAATGATGAAATTGTGACTCTGATCAAGCTCAAACATGATGTATGAAGAGTAGAACACATCATCGACATACTGATAACTGCCAAACACTGGTCGCGCTGACAACCATCGCCCTCATTCCAGCACGCTGCAACGCACTGAAGCCCCCTAACGAAGGACACCTTGCCCCAACAGCCGATCTCCGTGATCATCTAGCTGCAAATATTTTGGTCCAGGCTGCGGCAAGGCCACCTCGAGTAAAGCCGAGAACAAGCTTCCATTCCCTTGGCCGGGGCAACATCGGGACCCTAGCGTCTGCCAGTGAACGGGCTTCCCGAAAACGCGCCTTCGGTGTCTGCCGTTGTGGGTCGCCGGATCGATCCCGAAACTCCGCGCCTCATCCCGCGCAGAAGCTTCGGCATCGCAAATCGCACAGCTCGCATCTGCAATACAGGCCTTGCCATTGGTTTGACTGCCCCTCGTAGTTAGCTGTCTGTATCCCTGCAAATACCGACTTGTCGCTGAAGTCTGCAGCAGTGGCCAATTGATTGATGCTGAGGTTGGTTCTGAAGGCTTACTCTTGATGCCTGTGACAGAGTCGCCGAGCGATGCTTTTGCTGCCCATGAACTCTCACCCTTGCCAGATGTTCCCATCATCCCGAGGTCTTCAATGCCGTGAACGCGCCCTATTTGCACGCCTGCTATCCATCTTGCTAATGGCCTTTTATGTCCATTACATATTGTGTGGTTGACCGCAATAAGTAAACTGTTTTGAAGCCCATCAACATGCTAACGATTCGGGTCGCTAAGTCCTTAAATCGACCCCACACTAAACTCAAGCATTCGCGCCCGGCGAGCACGACTCTGATACCGGTCAACTGTAAACGCCCATTCTCTTTGCACCACAGCATCAGCTCATCGGCCACAATGAATCCCCAAGCCGTCGAAGCCCCCTTGACACAATCGGCCACCTTTCTCGTCTTATCGGCCACAGATGTACCAGATGCCCTCAAGAACATTCGATCTGCCGTCTCAAGTATCTCGGACATCACCAAGAACATTTCGACCCGCCACCCGAGCGCCAATCTCTCTTGCACCGTCGGCATCGGCAGCAAAATCTGGGATGGGTTCACGCAACTACCCCGGCCGACGGAGTTGAGACCATTTAAAGAGATCCGGGGTGTTAAACACACTGCAGTATCGACACCTGGTGACCTGTTATTTCACATCCGATCGGAGAGGAGAGACATGTCCTTCGAGTTTGAGAGACAACTCATGGATTTGCTAGGCGATGCGGTCAAGACGGAAGACGAGACGGTTGGGTTTCGGTACTTTGATGCACGCGATGTGCTAGGGTTCGTCGACGGCACTGCTAACCCCGTTGGCTCAGACGTCTCTGAAGCTATTGTCATCACTGAACAAGATGACAAGTCCGAGGCCGCACCCGGGGGAAGTTACGTCGTGGTGCAGAAGTATCTCCACGATATCAAGGCATGGCGCAGCTTGTCTACCGAGAAGCAGGAGGCCATCATTGGGCGGACAAAATTGGACAACATAGAGCTAGACGACGCGGAGGATGGACGCCAGCAGTCTCACAAGAGCCTAGCAACCATCGAGGACGAGGACGGAAACGAGCATGACATCCTCAGGGATAACATGCCTTTTGGATCTCCAGCTTCTGGGGAGTTTGGCACCTACTTCATTGGGTACTCCAAGAAACTCTGGGTCACGGAGAAGATGCTTGAGCGGATGTTCATTGGCAATCCGCCCGGGCTGCATGACAGAATATTGGACTTTTCGAAAGCAGTCACGGGGTCTACCTTTTTTGTGCCATCGGCCAAGGTATTGGAAAGTCTTGGTAATGAATAAGTCTCGTCTGAATCTGACATCAAGTTCCATTCGGTGGATCGCGCTGTTCTACTGGTGGGATGACAAAACAGGGGTCCTCTAGGATTAAGGGGTACGATCGCTATTGGGACAGCATCTCCAAATGGTCCTTGCCAAGAAGTTTCAAATCATCGCATCGCTTTTGTTTTCACTAAATCAACGGGGGAGCCTGTTTCTTTTAAAGGTGATGAGTGGAATAATTATGGTCGGACAGTCCCCCAAGAGCGGACTTCTAGTCCGCAAGTTCGACATGCATGCATCCCCGTATTTAACCACGAATCAAGTGGTATGCCATTAGATGGAACATTTTTATTCTCCTCGCCTTTCGCCCTACTTGTATGGAATCCACGGAACGCGAGGAAACAAAGGGATGCAATAGCCCACACGGAAAATTGTTTTTTCTCTTCACACCGTCTTACACATATTGCCAAGCTTTTCAACAAACAAGCGTATACGAGCTACGAGGTGGAATAAAATGGGAATGCGTGGTGCCCTCCTTATTTTCACCTCATCTAATGGCAACCTGGCATCTTGTGATTTTAATTATTTAAGTGGGTGGCTGCTAAAGTCCAGCAACTCGAAAATGGCTCTACCTCAATATCATTGAGCATATCCGGAACTACTGTCTAGACTTGATCTACTCCCTCAACATGGTGACCATGGCCATTGCCAAGTTCCTCCCCGTTGCAGTTCTTGCCAGTCTCGTCGCTGGGCAGACTCTCAATATTCCAGCAAGGAGCGGTTCCATCATCTCCCTCCCTGCGCCGAGCGTGATTTCCGGTTCGAAGGACATGGAAAACAAAGAATACGACCGAGGACGCGCATGCGAGACAGACGTCGAGACACCGGGTGGCCATCCCGTCTTCATCCTGGATGACGGCGCGACACTCAGCAACGCCATCATTGGCATTGGCCAAGTAGAGGGTATCCACTGCAGAGGTGCTTGCACGCTGAAAAATGTCTGGTTTCGCAAGGTTTGCGATGGTAAGCTCCTTTTCAACAACACTCAGGAACCATATCATTGGTCAGAGGGTTGACGTAAATGACACAGATGCCATCACGCTCGTCGGAAACGGCGACATCCTCATCCAGGGAGGAGGTGCACAGTCTGCAGTCGAAAATGTCATTCTGCATCAAGGCAAGGGGACCGTTACGATCAAGGACTTCACCGTGGTAGGATCGAACAGGCTTTACCGTGCTTGCGGTAATTGCGCAAATAATGGAGGGCCTCGCAATGTTGTCATTGAGAACGTTAAAGCGAACAACGTGAAGCTTCTCACCGGCATCAACTCCAACTTCGGCGACGTGTCCACCGTGTCCAACTCATGCGGCGCAGCGGTTACGAAGGTGTGCCAGGAGTACAAGGGTGTCCAGAAGGGACAGGAGAGTTCGAAGGTGACTACTACGGCTAACTGCAAAGGACAAACATCTCTCGGCGCATGTTAAATAGTCTAAAAGTATAGGGGTCGGAGTGACTATATGGCTAGGGCGAACATGAGTTGCGAACAATTATGACTGATCATCTGCGGAAGAATGTTGTGTTTAAGGGCGCAAGACTTCTTCAATTTACTACGTGTTTCTTCCTTTCTGCTGACTTGAGGGTCCTTGTATTTATCATAGCCATCATCCGTATCCCTCTTCGTGTTTCGTTTTGCGAAGGTGCTCAAGTCTAGGTCTCCGTACCATGTTATATCGAGCCAACATTGAAGACGTAATCAATGGTAAAACTGAGGATCACAAAGGGAGGATCAAAGCGGCACCAGCCAGTGTGGAAACGCCTAACACCATGACAACCACGTACTTCAAATTCATGAACGCATAGGCTTGCTTTAACTACTATGGGAATTGTATACCAATTCCAACTCACAGATAGTTATGCAGGCAATTTTGACCAGCACGTCTGACTTTGGGAAGCCCCCCTCCCCTGCCTCCAGTCACACACTCTTAACTATGTGCGAGCTGCCACTGCCGCAACTGTAGCTATTCACCGGGCATCTCGCCACTGCTTACCGACCTCTTCTCTCGCATCTTCTTCGAAAAGCCAGGCAGTCCCTCACGGCCCAAAATGACTGCCGGATCCAAGGGTACAAAGATCGCTACCGCAATTACCATCACGACAGCGTCCAGCGCAATGAAGTAGACTTCGTGCGTGAGGAGATAGCCGTTCCAGCCCTGAGCAAGCTCGATAACCCGATAAACGCTTCGAATATATACCATCACGAAGCTAACAGTGAGTGACACAAACACCAGCTTCATCCCATAAATGACACTGCCACGCACATGGCTGAAGACTCGCCAGAAAAAGTCCCCCAGAAACCCACCGAATAACGTCATGGTGAACAGTTGGGCGAGTCCAGAGTACGTAAAGAATGGCTGGACTAAACTCTACCGCACTGGCGACAGGGGCCATCTGACCCAACGTGGCGAGCTGGTGTTCGATGGCAGGATCGCAGGCGACACGCAAGTCAAGCTCCGTGGGATACGGTTGGACCTACGGGACGTCGAGGCAAACATCGTGCGATTCTCAGAAGGCGCCGTATCCGAGGCTGTCTGCTCCCTTCGAGGCGAGACCGCCGCCACAAGTTTTATCGTGGCACACGTTCTTGCTACCAGTGCTGTCTCTGGCAACGACTGCCACGAAAACATACAGGGTAACGAAGGTCCAGAGAGAGCGGAAGACATGGAAAAGGTTGATTTCCTGAGGCGTTTGCGGGACAAACTTCCCATCCCGCAATACATGAAGCCCGCAAGACTCATCCCGTTGCCGACCATACCCATGACGGTGCACGGAAAGATTGATCGCGTATATATCGCGGCCATGCCGTTGCCTGACGCAGCCACTGACTGGTCTGCCGTTGGCCACCACGAGCTGACAGATGTCGAGAACAGGATCGGGGCCGTGTGGGAGCGCTTGCTGCCCCGAGAGACGTTGCCTTCGCCTCTGAGCCCGTCCTCGGACTTTTTCATGCTGGGCGGCAACTCACTCATGCTTGTAGAGGTGCAAGCGCATATCCGAGCCGATCTCAGCGTCAACATCTCTCTGCGTGATCTGTACCAGTGTGTTATTCTCTCAGAAATAGCCGCCAAGGTGGATGAGTTGATGGCTGTGCAGGCGTTGGACTGGGAAGCCGAGACGACTCCACCGCGTATGGGAGAACTTGTCAATGCCTCCTTCAGCGAAGAGGTCACTATTCAAACGGAAATGAAGTCAGGTCATGTGGAGATCATTCTGACGGGTGCAACCGGTCATCTGGGACCATATATCCTCACACGCTTGCTGTCGAATCCCGCCATCACAAAGATTCACTGCATTGCTGTTCGTGATCCTCAAAAGCTCCAGGCGCTCCTTGCAAACAGCAGCATCACCGCGGGAGCAGACGCAGCAGACAGGGTCATAATCCACCCCGGCGACCTGACCCAACCGGACCTGGGGCTCACTCCCGACACCCTCGCCCGTCTTGCCACCACTGCAGCAGCCATTATTCACGCCGGCGCCGCTCGTCTATCCTGGGAGACCTACGCCGTGCTGCGCCCCATGAACCTGGATCCCACACACGCCCTGCTGCGCCTCGCGGGCCGGCGGCACATCCCCGTCCACTTCGTGTCCAGCGGCGGCGTCTTCCCGGCCACGCACGCGCCGCTCGAGATGACCGCCGCCGAGCACATACCCCCCGCGCTCGGCGCCGACGGCTACATCGCGACAAAATGGGCCGCCGAGCGCATGCTGGAGCGGGCCGCCGCCGGAGGCCCGGGGGAAACTGATTCTTCCGAGGCTGGTCTCGGAGTCCCCGTACGCATCTACCGCACTGTGCGGTGCGCCGGGGAAGACCCGGCGTCAACGTTTGGTGATGAGTTGCCCGAGGACATTGCCGCTGCTATGGCGGCGGCGAGCGTCGAGAGCATGACTATGCTCGACCACGGCGGGTATGCGTGGTCGGGATGGTTTGATCTCGTGTCTGTCCACGAGGTTGCAGACCGGATCTGCGATGCCGTTGCGAGGGATTTACCATTCCATGCCGACCCCGACGAAGAGACGGCAGAGCGTACGTGTGAGCCCGCCCTGCCACACGTCGCGTACACAAACATCGTGGGATCGTACCGCGTGTGGAAGGTGGACCAGTTGCATCAGCTCGTGCTGCGCCCCGAGATCCAGGCCAACATGGGCAGGTTCAAGATGGTGCCCCCGCAGATCTGGCTGGGGGTGCTGAAGCGCTCGGGTTTCCCGTGGATGATGGGTGCCAGTGAGGCGGCATATAAGGACTGGGTTCAAAATCGGCGTTAATGAAGGGTTCATCAGTTGAGTTTTAGATTTTCTGGATTCGGTCATTTTAGTTTCCCCTCTCTGTCTCTCCGCGGCAAATTGCATATCCATGCTTCTTTTTGGTTGGATTAGTATTGTATCCTTTATAATTCACACTCTGCAGGGCCGAGATCATGGACAAGCTGTCTCGTCATGCCTCTCTGTTGCTCTCAGTGTTGGGAACACAGTTTCAAGCTACCTAGATTTCATGAATGACAAATGAATTCAACCTCAACCAGGCTCAGGCCTGCGTTCCAACTTCTGCACCCATCTTGTTCACGTATGCACGATGGATACCTTGCCATTGGTCATCCAGCCTTTTCTTCATCGGCCCCATCATGAGTTTGGAGCACTGAATTGTGCCCCTGTCCAAAAGCGTCCAATTTTCCATATCGCCCGCATCCCTTTTGGGCGTCAACACAAACTCCCTGTCGACGGATACATTCAGTGCACCTGTCATGTGCGTGACCAATCCATCCCGAGTATTCTCCATTCGCCACTGATTTGTGGTGTGACCCATTCCGGGCAGAAGACGTGCTATGATTCCGGGAACGGTAAAGGTCTGTTCATAGAACTTGGCTTGACCAGCGGGCTCAGCACGGCTGTCGGCATCATTGATGTTGTTAGGGGTGTCGACCTCCTTATGGGAGACAGCCAGACTGTCTTGGGAGAGTAAGAACGCGTGGTCTTGAAGGGCCTTGAGGGCCTGTTCTTTGCTGACGACGCCTTGGATGACGGTGCTGTGTGAAAAGCTCTCGCTTGCAGTGAGGACTATGTTGATAGCTTCAGGTTAGGAATTGATTCCCCTGCCTCGTCTGTCAAATCAATCAACATGTTTAGGTCACTTACAGCCCATTGTCTGTAGATATTCCACCTTCTTTCAGCGGTGAACGGCCGGTAATTTCAACAAAATGTAGACCTATGGCGAGATTGCGGAGAACTGACTCAAAAACGAAAAAAGCAAAAGAGGATGGAAAGAGGACAGAGAGAGCCTGGGTCAGCGGAGAAGGCCCTTTATATACTTACTGTGCTGGCGGTCCTTCGGGTCTGTCAGCCCTTGGCCAATAGAGATACCGGAGAACACAGACCAAACCCTGAATTTGGGCCAACCGGAATCTTTAGCCGGCTCAATAAATTGCTTCAGGGTTGAGTACAAGGTGCAAAGTTTCTATTCCAGTCCCAGGAGGGGCATCGATTTGCAATTTCGTGGGAATGCCCAGCTGGTAAAAACAAGACCTATCAAAAAAAAAAAAAAAAAAAAAAAAAAAAAAAAACATCAGCGACCGCCTTTGCGGCTTGCAACTGCTTCCCAACGAGAGCAACCTTGCCAGGACGTCTCAAATGTATCTGTATAATACGTACCAAGAAGGGCAAGGAGCCACGATAGGGAGCTACGATAGGCTGTGGCTGACCGACGGCAGCCACCCCGCCACGGCCGATAAGGCCGATAAGTGTGGCACAAAGCAAAAGCTTCAGTAATAATACCCCTGGTATCATTATCCCCTGTTCTATACTATAAGAGTTACTACTTAAATTTAGATACCTACCTATATTATTATAGCCTTATTAACTAAGCTATTATTCCTAGTCTTAAGCTAATTAGTTATATGTCTTAGCTACTTATAGCCCCACACTAAGGTAAGCTTGAGTTAAGACAGCAACAGCAGTAGCCAGATGAGGGAAAAACCTAAGCCTCTCGTTTTTGTCAATGTTGCGGCATTCGGTGTTCCTGTAGAACCAGCTTGGCCTGTGGCTGTGCCTGCATCCCCCCATTTCCGGATCCCGTATTCTGTGCCCTGTTTACTACGTCACCCCTGCTGTCACAGCGATACCAATGAAACTCGAGCTTTCATCAGACTCGATGGTTTCAACTTCGATGTGCCGGGTCATGGTAGACGCAGTCGCAGATGGGAATTGGCCACTGACCGTGCGGCCGTGATATGTGTATGTGTTGTCAATGAGGGTGTATATGTCGTTGTCGAGAATGGTTGCAGTGTACAGTTCTCGTGGGATGTAAGAGAAGCACCCCAACCCGAGAGCCTTTGCCGTGAATCCGCTGAGGATCTTGCGTTAGTACACAATGCTTGTCCACCATTGTCATCCTGCGTATCCATCGGCAACGGGTGCAACGTACCTTGGGCAGCAGGCTACAGCGGTTTCGTGAGGCTCGATCGCGGACATGAACATGTTGGCTGCTGGCTGTATACCAGGTCTCGCTCCTGACTGAGTTACGATGTGTGTTGTCGTGCTATCAGACTGGATGAGAGTGAACGTCGGATCGGCATATGTGCCGCTTAGGCTGTAAGATGTCCCATCGCCTCTGGCAGCAACGCCCACAGTTGTCCAATTTGAAGGACAGATATTGCCGGGTGAGTGGTAATAGACCACGTCGTCTCATAGGGTTATCCTTTCGCGAGGCCCACTCCTCGTTCATCTTCGTAGCCGATGGTACACATTCGTTGAAAGGGTCATCCGTCAGGGAGGCACAATCCTCTGCCCAAAAAGGTATGCCAGCCGCGGCCGCGTAAGATTGAGCCAAATATGGAGAATGCTTTATCGTCGCGCATGCTGAGGGCGCGGTCCATGTTGTCGTCAAGGGCCCAATGTTGACGAGAGCAACTTGCGAAATCATTGACGTTGGCATGATGGCGTGAGAGTTGTCGGTAAATTGGGAGTATCTTAGGCTTTGGGGGACTCATATCCACTTTAAAGCTTCCAGGTTGTGTGCTAGATGTGGTTGCCTAGATGTAGGATTTGACGCTGTCATGCGGCGCAGTCCAGTGATAATGAAGGATAATAGTCGAGTTGACGTCTATGTCTTAGAAGCACCGGGGGTCAATTGTCCCCCTATTGCTGGAACTGCTGGCGTATTCATCTATACCGGGCGAATAGCAGACCTACCAACAGCGACCCGTGATAATAAACAGCGCCATCCTCCTCATGTCATTATGACGGTAGGACCATCGACCGCCACCTCCCTTTCTGGGGAATATCCTTTTTATTTCAAGCGGACTGAGCCTGATATTTCCGAACACTTTGTTCGCGTTAAGAACCAGTGAAAACATCCCGCTAGGAATATTGCTCCGGACTTGGGGTTGCCTGCAATCAGAGTTGAACACGGTCGTGATGAGCCGCTCCCGTCATAAGATGTCTGCCTTTATGGCCAAGTCAATGCAATCGACATTTGGTCTGAACATATAAATATTCGCCAGATATCTCTGTAAAATTCCCAGAAATAGGATTTTGAATACGTCGTTGCAATAATGAGTCAATTATCAGGTGGTACTCTCATTACGTCTGCGCAGTGTGCGTTGGATATGAGCCATGTCTATCTCCAAAGCATCTGAGTTGCACGAATGCCATTAATTCTAGAGCAGTCTCAAATTATCTACAGAGGTAATCAAAAGAAAGCGGATTATTTATTAATAACATCACGCTTATCACTCGCCATTCGTAGCCGGGACCCATGGAAACGCGGCGTCGGGTTCTCATGCCTGCTTCGGCGACAGCTGCCTGCCCCACATACCTGCCTACCTATTTGGGAAGCGCATACTTACACCGCTGAATCGGCTTCTCTTTCTCTTCTGGGGTCCACCTAGGCAAGGCGATGCTCATTCAGACGATGAAGTGAAACTCTACGGTATGGTTGCAGTGACCAGTTTCCAATTCCGTAATGTATCTATTGTATGCTTGCCTTTTTTGAACTGTTTCTATCAGACACCATGACTTGTCTGAAACGTCAAGATAGGACCAGACGAAGAGGATATTGGGCGGAAGAGGCCGTTGGCAGTAAGCGGGATGTGATATTTAAGACGTCTGACATCCGTCCATAAAGACTGTCAAGAACTCAGATCAATCAGACAAAACCTCAAGCCATCACCATTCAATATCAACCTTTCTTTCTCTAGGTACCAATTCCGCAGCTTAAACACCCCGATCTCCAACGCATATCTACTCTTCTATCAACAACAGCAAATATGTCAGACAAGGGTGCCACTCTCGATATGTCCTTGTTCTTCGGAACTCCTGAAGAGAAGAGATACTTTTGCACCGAGCTGCTCCGCCTACTGAGGTTGAGAGGTGGCGTCAAAATTCAGAACCACAGCATTCCGGATGAAGATATTCACGAGCTCTTCGACAGGGTAGGTTTATACCATTTTCGTGGAATTCTATGAGACTGACTTGGGAATACTCCTAGAGCCGCAAATTCTTTGCTCTGCCTCTCGAGACCAAGATGGAGGCCAAGCATCCTCCTCAAGCCAACCCCAACCGTGGCTACAGCTTCATCGGCCAGGAGAATGTCGCCAACATTAGCGGCTATGAGAAGGGTCTTGGCCCCGGAAAGACTCGCGATATCAAGGTCGGTCTACGAGTATCTCTCTTTGCACACCCACGATGACTGACACGCACCAGGAAACCCTCGACATGGGCAGCGCCCAAGATGACCTCGTCGACAACCTTTGGATCCCGGAAGAGAGCCTCCCAGGTTTCCGCGGCTTCATGGAGTCCTTCTACGAGAAGGCCTTCAAGACGGAAATGCAGCTCCTCTCCGCTCTGGCCATCGCTCTCGGCGTTTCCGAGGACCACATGAAGACGCTCCATAACCGCGCCGAGAATGAGTTCCGTCTGCTCCACTACCCGGCTATCCCGGCCACAGAACTTGCGGACGGCACCGCCACCCGCATCGCCGAGCACACCGACTTCGGCACCATCACCATGCTCTTCCAAGACTCTGTAGGCGGTCTTCAAGTCGAGGACCAGACCCAGCCCGGTGTCTTCCGCAGTGTGGAGTCGGAGAAGCCTACCGACATCATCCTCAACATCGGCGACTCGCTTCAGCGACTTACCAACGACACCTTCCGCGCGGCTTGTCACAGAGTCACTTACCCGCCTGCCATCAAGGCGGGAGACAACGTCCAGATTCCGGAGCGATACTCGATCGCCTACTTCGTCAAGCCTAACCGTCACGCGTCGCTGCTACCGTTGAAGGAGTTCATAACTGATGCGACACCTTGTCGATACGAAGATGTCACTGCTTGGGAGTGGAACAATCGCAGAATCACGAAGCTTTTCGGTTAAGTCGGAATGTTGTTAGCGTACTTTGGGCATTGGGCTTTCCTTTTTCTCTTTTCCATTTTCCGCCTGGGGAGTTTGAATGCATTCGAAATCTAAGATCAGATTGTAGCAAGTCAATCAAAGATTGTATACGTTATCAGCGCGGAGAATCGACCAAAGGTTGGGATGACATGCATGCACCGGTGTCTTGGTCAAGTCTTTGGGTTGTGGGGCTTGTCCTGTGCTCCTCGGGATCGCCTGCCTCCCCTGAATTACTGCAAGGGGGTCAAGCACGGTTCTAATAGAGGACCGAGGTCGCGACAAGTTCGAGATGATATCGCGGGGTCGCGGGCAGAATTTCGGAGTGACCACTAAAGGTTATCGGTAATTTGGAGTCTTCAAAAATCTTTGAAGGCCGTCCTGGGTGTCTCGGGCTCCGCGGGATCTCAAAGGGTCGCCGAGCAGCCGGACTACTCCGTCTACTATTAAGAAGGCCGATGTGACAAGACGCATATCCATATATACCTCGAAATTGCACCTCTGTCCATCTGTCTTGCCGTGTAGGATTCCGAGCCGCTCGCATTTCATTCCGGACTGTTGGGAACAACGCGTCAAAGTCGTCACAGAGGCGGAAGTTGATTGTCCCGCCTCGGCGCACCGAGCCCCTGAGCTTCGACGATGTCGTGCGCACTGACAGCCCAACTTCGAACCGTTTCCCTTTCTAGACAACCTCAATGAGTTCGTGCTTTTTGGCGAAATACATGCATGAGTCGACATGTAGAGCTATGACCAATAAGGACATCCGAGATCCCCTCGCTTGGCATGCTAGACATCTTAGCATGTCGCCATCCATCAGCAGTGACGCGCTAAAATCAACGGCGTTGATGCTAAGCCAGACTATTGTCAGCCTCGTCGCAGAGCCTATGCAGAAACATGCTCTTAGGAATCGTCGACCACGTGTGATTGTATCGCCCCAATTGAGTCGGCATTTGTGATCATGAACCCAAACATGGCTACAATCAGCACCTCGAAATATGGACGATGTCACGATAGGGAAAAAAAAAACAACCCGGTGGGATAGAGTTCAACGGCCCGATTGACAGGTATCTCATATCTAAAAGGAGGCCACTTTAACTACGAAACTGTTCCTCATATCCAGAAAGTCTATGGTGTTCAGTACCCCGCGGCAGTTCGAAGGCAGGATCGCCCCTATCTCTCCGAGACAACCTGTCCACCGCTGACCGCGCCAGCAAGAGGACTATGACAGGTGGACTCCTTTCCGCTTTACTGGCTCCCAGTCCGTGAGACAATCTCCTTTCGCATTCAACCGCCTCTTCTGGACACAGCTCGGGTGTTCAACCGCCCCCAGTGTCAAACTGGGCCGGTGGCACCGCGCAGATCTCCATGTAAACGCGCCGCGCGTTTTGGACATACGCCAACAACCATGTGGACGTCCGTTCCCATCTCGCTTTCGTAATGTTGTTTTCTTAAATGGGATGGCAGTGCCACCAAACAGATGATCCCTCGTTCTGCTGTGGAAGCTTGCTGCTGCTCATTTGTTCTCTTCCTTCTGCTTCTCCCGATGCCCTCGCCGTCTGGTGGTCAGCGGCTTTTCTTATGCGTTTCAAGAAATGTTCACCAACGCCAGAAACCGTCAGTATGACCTCTTGGTGCTTCTGCTTTTGTCTTTGGTACATTTGACCTCTTCGTCTGAGACGACAAGCATCACCAGTTTGATTTCCCAAGTACCAAACTGCGCGGTAAGTCTGAATCGTTTCTGTTACTGACGATGTAAGCTTACTAACAGCGGTTCGTGGGTATAGCTGAGTTGTGTTACGGATGGACTTATCAAGGGGGGCTGTAAATTGACTTCAGTCCCCGTTCTCACCGATTGTCTTTGCCCGAACATCGATCTTCAGGCGTCTCTTTCTACCTGTGTGCAACAGAGCTGCTTCTTCACCGACCAGACTCGTGGGTATCCAATGAGCACCCGAGGGATGTCATGAAGATTGACCATGACCAGGTGCCGCCCAGCTCCAGACCGACCTATGCGTCGCGTATCCGAAACCATCAAGAAGTAAAGAAGCGAAGGACGTCGCCATTGCCCTTTCGGTCATCACCTTTCCGATCGTCGCGTTGCGATGCTTCGCCAGATGGCTCGTCACACGAAAGATGTGGTGGGATGACTACATGGTCATTATCGCCACGCTCCTGCTGGCCGTGATGGCTGGTGTACAGATCGCAGGCACTGAGCTGGGTTTCGGACTACACTACTGGAACGTTCAGCCTTCGAACAGCGTCACGCTCATTCAGCTTTTTTACGCCGGGCAGCAACTTTACATCCTCGTCCAGCTTTTCGCCAAAATATCCATCCTGCTTCTATTCGATCGACTCTTCTCATCCTCCCGCTGGTTCCACAACACGATTCGATTGTTCATTTTGTTTTTGGTTCTACACGGAGTCATTTACATGTTTCTCATCATCTTCGAGTGCACCCCGATCTCATCGATCTGGGACCTGAGCAACCCCGACCGCACCTGCAAGGATATCACGGCCATCGTGTACAGCGGAGCAGCCTTCAGTATCATCGAAGACTTTGGAATCCTGTTACTTCCGGTGCCTGAATTGCTTAAGCTGCAACTCAGCACGAAGAAAAAGGTTGGGCTTGGTCTCATCTTCAGCTTAGGATCATTGTGAGTCTTCATCGTGTCATCCACTCAACATGGCTGTTCTTTTTACTAACACGGTTTTCAGTGCTTGCATAACAAGCATGGTGAGACTCAAGTTTCTCATCAAATTTTCGGCAACCTACGACGTCACTTGGGATAATGTTGACGTGGTCATCTGGTCTCTGATTGAGGTGTTTTGTGCTATCCTGTGCGCGAGCCTCCCTGCTCTGCGACCACTGCTGAAAACCATAAGTACGAAGATCTCCAGGAAGGGAACTAGTGAGGCGGCTCCGCTGAGACGATCGATTTACTACAGGAAACAACACTTCGAAGAGATCACTGGAACTACTCGATCAACCGGAACCGAGCTTTCACTGTCGCCAGTCGATACAAGTATTGGCGATGAAATAGCGAGAGAACTTGACTGGTGGGACAGGCTTAGTCTCAAGGGCAGTCTTGGCCCTTCAAATAAAGTATAAGTGTTTGAGTGTTGTTTTTTTTGCAGGTTTCTAGAAATATCCCTCGCTTTGGTCGGTGAACGTGACTGGATGATATTTCCATGTGGCGTGCGAGTTGCGAGTCGGGTTGGTTCCCTCTTCGCCTGGTGGCTGGACCATTGCATCCGCAGTTGAATTGATCATTTTCACGTATTCTCTCCCGTGACATTCACATGACCATGAGTGTGGGTGTCTTCGCCATTGAGTCCCAGATCGAGTGACATATGAGCAACATCTAATTCGACGTCTCACAAAGAAAGTGGATCCATCGTCATGCTCGTCGCGGAGGCCTTCCCAGCTTGACTCACAACGGGGCGATAACTGTCAGATAACAATATCATGCATTTCTCCATGCGATGCGGGGTAAATAATCGGGTTCTCAATTGGCTTGCCTTATCAGCTTCAACCTTGTCAGGAACCAAGCCGTCGTGGCCGAAGATACGCGACTTGTCTAAAACAGACCTCTGCCCGCTTAGGATAGAGATCCCGAACCCTTCCTGTTTTGCTCATTCTCCATATTCTACAATATCCCATCCGACGCAAACATGAAAAGTCCCAAAACCAAGAACTCGCACACTTTCGAGGGTTGCAAGACGTGCAGGAGGCGTCATTTGAAGTGCGATCAGACATTGCCGAGATGTAAAAGATGTAAGCTGGCCGGACTTTCCTGTGACTTTAGGCCAGCCCTGCGGTGGTTTGTCAGTACGGGACCAGACGCAGGCAGTGCATCTGTTCAGAACGCAGATGAGAACACTGGACAGTTCTCAAGACGACACCTGTTCAGTGGTGAGTCATGACTCACCTTGATGGATTGAGGGGACTTCAGAATGACAAATTCTTAGAATCATCGAGAAAATCAATGAGCTCTGCCATGGTGGCCGATATGCCGTCGACGATAACGTCGGCACTCAATAAAATTGATGAGAAGGCAAGAAATGCTGAATCACATGCCGAGGAAGTTGCTGTGGGACCTTTTGGGGTGTTCTCAGGATTCCCATCAGTTCAAGAGGGCGCTCCCAATGTCGAAAATACAGCAATGACATCCCCTACGGCAACCACATGCAGATCGGCATCAATCGCAGAAGCTTCATTTGTGTCCCCCATTACTACAATGTCTTCCTCTATGCCCACGTACTGTGATGAGACGGAACCCCAAATGGATACAGGTGACGTCGCTTCGATCAACAATGCAGACTCGGTGGACGATAGCGCTGGCATGTCTAATGCGTTGGACGATCTCTTCTCGACATCACTGGACTTCCTGCAATGGGGAGACCTGTTTACGTGGGACACCGAAGTGCCAGGACTTGAGTCAGGCCCTTTGCCCATGGGCAGTATTGAAAGCCATGACCTGACCAACCACCCATCGGGGCCATGGAGTACTGGAAACACCGGAGACATTCATGGTCACGGTGGGGATGCATTTCCTGATGGAACTGACGCGGATCTGGAAGGCATGGCTTGGCCTGAGGTAGACTGGATCGTCGACGCTCCAGCGCTGCTCAAACACTTCAATGAAGAGGTCATCAATCAGATGGGTTCCTTACCGATCAACGAAAAGTCCGGTTGGAGAATTCTCAACGTACCCTCCGCCATTCTCACTCTGAGCCATATTACCATGTTTGGCGTGGATAAGAAAGATATTAGACACGCGAGTCTTGCAAATTTGTATGGCTTACTCGCCGTGTCAGCGTTCCATCTGTCTCTAAATCCCGGTGCCTTCCCGGCGTTGAGCAGACCTGGTGACTACTGGCACTTCCTTTCGGATCGGACATATGAAGCCGCTAAGATACATTTGAAAATAAGCCTTGAGAGCGAAACCAGTCGGAATTCTACCAGTAAGGCGAAGTACAAGGAGCAGCTCATGGCTGTCGGAGCAGTACTAGCAAGCGCCGTGAGTATTCATCAAGCAGGGCACTTATTGATGGCTTCTTGGTTGACCATTGAATGTTTCTCCAGTTATTATCCGGTAATGAGGCCGAGTCGCACAAATATCTCGTGGAGATGGAAAGGCTCATCCGAGTTCGAGGTTTAACCAAGCCAAAGCTCTCGCGTCGGGCCCGCCTATTCCATAACATTTATGCGTGGATGAGGATTGTATCTGAGAGTACGAAGGTACTCCATGACGAAAGCCAAATCACATTCAAGCCACTGAAGCTAGCCAGCACGGGGCTGAACACACCGGACGATAATGATTCGGGAACATCACGGTCTCGACAAGCCGGGTCTTTGCACAACATCAATCCTGACAGCACTCTGGACAGTTTCTTGCACTTGGAGCAGTTCCAACTACAGTCCGACTCCGAAAGCCGTGGCCGCCGACATGACGATACACGAGACATCCACCTCGTCAGTTCACTCAACTGTCGTGAGGACATGCACATGCGGATATACGGTGTTCCCGAGACCTGGCTGCGGCTCGTGTCCCAGGTTACCCGGCTCGCCAATGTCATGGATAGGCTGTCACCGTCGCAGGGTAAATCAGATGCGGAGACCCTGGCATCGCTCCAGCCCAAGGCAGCGTACCTTGAAGAAGCTGTATGCTCGTTCAAGGCGCGGTATCAGTCCGCAGCCCAAACAGAATCCAATCAAAGCCGGCCTCATATCCACATGGCACGCGCTCTGAGCGCGGCTCTGGTGATTTTCTTCTATCGACGTATCCGAAACATTCATCCTATGATGCTCCAAGACAGCGTCAATCAGGTGATGGACTCTCTTCACATGTTTGATGAGGCTTTGCAAAAGCATGGATTGGTCGGACCTGGAACTGCTTGGCCGGCTTTCATCGCCGGGGCAGAAGCGACAGGGGCGGAGCAACGCCAGAGTTTCGAGGCTTGGCTGAGTAGAGCGAATGCGAAGTCTGGATGGAAAGGCCACGGTGTTTCTAAGGATGTATTAAAAGAGGTCTGGAGGCAGCGAGATGCAGCTGGAGGCGTGAGAGGATCGCCGACATGGGTCGATGTTTGCAGGCAGATGCGCCGATGGCCACTTCTGTGCTAGTACGCGATCAATACAACGAGGGCTTTGCCTTAACCTAATTCAGGTTTACTTGTTTGAAAGATATCTATGTTAAGTCTCTATTGTTTCTAGGAATGAAGTTGAAATTGCTTCTCTATGTTCTGAAGGAAAGCCTTAAAGGAAATCGGAAACAACACAATCTGATCAGGATATGAAAACTTGCTTGGCCATTCTAGCCGTCTGCAAAACGCTCAACGTGTGTTATCAAAAGCTTACTGTCTGAAGCTAGCCACCTTCTCGAAAACCCGAGACATCAACATCGATCCACCGAGCCCATTCTCGCTGCGCAGCACCTTAGCCAAGATGAACGCAGTGAGAGCCGCCACAGGAATCGTAGCCACAACACCGGCCTTGCTGATAGCGAGCGACTTCTCTTCGGGTGTCTTCTCGTCAGAATACGGCCAGTTGTGAGCAGCCTTGGGCGGGTCGATGCTCAGCAGACGGAGGCCACCAGAGATCTGCTGACTGTAGTAGTCGACGTACTTGTCCAGCGGCATCAGAGGCAGCATGTACTTGTGCAGCATTCTGAGCTTCCACGACTCCCACGCGGAGCTGCGCATAGCGTCTTGGCAGCTCTCAACCATATCGACCAGGCGGTCGACGCGCTGCTTCTCGAGGGCGACAAACGCCTTGCCCAGGCTTGCCACAGGCCAGGAGGCCGGGTTGCTGCTCTGGGGGCCCAACAGGTTCTGTGCCTGAAGCTGGTTGACGAGTGCGGCGCAGGACTCGATGCAGCTGTTGCCACCTTGGCCGACCAGGGGGTTGAACTTGTGCGCGGCATCGCCGAGGATGACGATGCGGCCGTAGTGCCATCGTCGCATCACGAAGTGCGGCAGAGCTGTGACGCCGCTGTAGAGCAAGTTCTTCTCGACCTGGCCGAACTTCAGACCGTTGTCGGCAACCGTTTTGTCTGCGCCCCGCGCAAACTCGCGAACCTTGTCCGCGTCGTCGAATCGAGGAATATCGTTGATGGGACACGTACGTTGCCCATCAGGCAGCTTCCAGAACCAGAAGACGAAGACCTCGGCCCCGGGGCCTCCCATACAGCCCGCGACTGTGCCGTGGCCGCTCGCACCGGTGACCTCTCCAGCCGCGATGCCCTCGGTAGGCTTGGCGGTGCCGAAGATGCAGGCGTGCTCACACGGGATGTCTTGCCTGTCGCGCGCCGGAATAGCGGCGGAATCGTTCGCGGCATCGGCGTTTCTCCACATTTCCCGGCGGATGGTGCTGCGCACGCCGTCTGCGCCGACGACGATCTGGCCCTGGAACACGGAGCCGTCTTCCGTGTACACCGTGGCCCCATTCTCTCGGGTCTCAACACGCTTGACCTTCTTGTTGACAAAGAAGCGGTTCTTCTCCTTGATATGCTTGTACATGACGCACAGCAGCTCGTAGCGCTCCATGAACATGCTCGGGTAGCCGTGGCGCTCGGTGATGAGCTGTCGCGTCTTCCTCGTCATGATGCGCTTGCCTGTGGTCATGTCTCTGACGATCATGGAATTCACCGGTTGCGCTTTGGCCAGGATGTCCTCGAAGAGACCGAGCTGATCGAGGATGCGCAGGCCATTGGGAAACAGGCCGATGCTGGCACCGACGTTGGGGGTGACGGAGTCGTATGCCTCGAGCAGAATGTAGTCAACTCCGCTATGTTGGAGCATCAGGGAAAGTGCGAGGCCAGTGATGCCACCACCGACAATGATGACTTGGCGCTTCTTGTCTTGGGTCGCCATGTTGTTGATGTTGTTTTGTGATCGCTAGTTGATTTGGTGTGATGTTGAAGGATTCTGTTGTTGACCGCTATGGCAAGGAAAGACGCTAATGATGGTGATGATGAGAAGGAGCAACTCAAAAAGGGCAAGAACGCCTGAAAAAACCAAAGTTCTTATATGAAGTCGATACGCCTGCCTTCTAACCGTCAACAGGGATGTTCACTCAATCAAGGTGGTAAATGAGCGGACACGATGCCGTCCGCATTGCGAAGATCGCAAGAATTAGGAAACAAGATCGTCTTCTGCGGAAAATTCAAGGGCCCCGAATGCAACTGCAGCCCTGAACACGCAAGACACAGAGGCTTCTCCACTGCGCATTTAATCAGGCCGTGCAACGCCTGTTCCATCATGCTCGGCTCGGCCCCGTTGTGGCCACTGAAAGACCCCAGATGTTGCGACTGATGGAGCTTGACCGCTTGGCTGGTGGATAAGAACGTCGCGGTGCGACCCCTGCCTCACGCAAACTCGCTATCAACACAAACGGCACGCGCCATTCGTGTGTTCGCAGTCAACTGCTGCCAGTGGCTTATTTTGCCCTGTCAGCTTACGGCCGATCCCGAACATAAGTCCGATTTGATGTTATCAGATCAAGCCGATACGGCTCCCGCATGGTGGGATTGAAAGTGTTATTGAAGAAAAACACGTGCGTGTCTATGTCTGGGCAGATGGCTTATATCCGAAAGGTGGGTTTCTTCCGCAACAGAGGTCGAGTTCTCCTGATGCTCGTGGGTTTCTTCCATTGAGTTTGAATTTCGGTTTTACGACTCGGACGCACAGCTAAACCCAAAAGTCCGTCAATCATTCTAAATTTGTCCGAGTACTGGCACATTCCCACATCAACTACAGATGTCTTTCAATGAGATCAGAGACAACTGTGTATCTTGCCTTCGTCTCCACATGGATCCAGGGAATCTCGCGCCAGCGACTCAAATGCCTTCATAAGACAGAGTCTTCGGCGCAAACTTCCAATTTCTAGAGTTTATGAAGGCTTGAATTCGATTTTCTAAATGGCTGTATCTGTCTATCGCTTTCGCAGCTCGACTCTCACAGGAAACTCATCAGCCGGATGCCCACCCCCTCCACCCTTGACGGCTTGGTACATCCTGTCGCCATTGATCGTCCTCACTCCACGCTTAGGATACATCTGATCCCACTCACCATACGCAGGCGTGATGCTGAACTCCCGCACAGTCATTACCAACGCAACCCGCAACTCGAGTAACGCCAATGTCTGCCCGATGCAGTTTCGCGGCCCCCACTCGAACGGCCGCCAGGCTGCTTTGGGGGGATGCAAAGGATCTTCGGGTCCAACGAGCCAACGTTCGGGCATACAGAGTTCGGGGTCCTTCCAGTACTTTGGGTTGTGATGGATGGCGAGCGGAAGAGTCCAGACGTTGCAGCCTTCGGTCGGATGCAGTTTGCCGTCTTCGTCGACGATGTTCAGGTCGGGGCGTCCCTGTCGCAGGGCACCTGCTGGCGGTAGTATCCGCAGTACCTCTTTGATGAAGGCCATGGTGTATGGAAGTTGGTTAAGGAGTTGAGGATCTGCCTGGATCTTGTCCTTGGACTGTGATGGCCTGGAACCGAAAATCTCATTGTGCTCGGCTATGACTCGTGACAGGACTTCTGGGTTCTTGGCGAGGAGGTAGTAGGAGTACAGAAGGGTGCTGCTGGTGGTGTCGTGTCCAGCGAGAAGGAAGAGACGCACTTGCGGAGTGATGATCTTTTTGAGAGTCTCGTTTGTGCTGTTGATATTCTTCTCGCCCACATCCTTGAGGTACTCATCTATAAACAGTGACGCTATAGACTTTGACCTCATCGAACCAGTCTGAGACTGGGCCGAGCGCTTCGAAAGATGGTCATCCAACTCGGCATGTATGTATCGGTCAACCTGCTTGCCGTTGTACCACAACACAAACGGTCGTATTGTGAATAGCTTTGTCAACGGATGCAAAGGTTCTGTGAAGGAGGTCCACATAATTTGCTTGCGCAGAGATGTGGCTAGCGGGTGGTCTATCAGTTGATGGCGTAGGCGGGAGTCCCTGGACCAATAGGTGAGTGAGGTGAGTCTCGATCATGATTAGTATACTCACAATACTACAGAGCCAATGACATCAAATGTCATCCTCAGAGTCAAGTCCTCTAGCTGGAAAACCTCGCTCAAGCCCTCGGAGCACCGATCAAACAATTTCTGCCGAAATACGGCAACCTCGTCTGCGATGGCGGGAGCCAAGCCCATCATATACCCTGGACTGAAGCCTGGGTTAAACAACCGCCGCCACCGCTTCCACTCATCTCCATCCATCGTCAATAGACTTCGGCCGCCGGTAATTTGCTCGAGGGGGTTGATGATGTCAGTGCCCTTGGCGAGGGGCAGGCTTTCAAGCTGAGCCGCGGCATCTGCATCGGATATGACCATGACAGTTCCGCTGAACGGCCAGAGACTGATGTAAAAGATGCCCTTCGGATAGTCTTTTGAGATGTACCACATGATGTTGTGGATGATGGAGTCAGACGGCAGCAGTCGCATGACTTTGCCGAGCACTAGAAAGTGGCCCGCGAGGAACGAAAATTTAGGCATTGGCTGTTTCGTAATTTAGACATTGTTCGGAAAAAAAGAATTGGATGATATCGTACCAGGTCCGCTCTCTGCATCTTCCATATCTTCTCCCGTGCTGCATACAGCTTCGTGAGAAAGTAGAGGAATCCCGTGATGACGACCGCAAAGACCGCTGCCCAGACGTGGCTGCCATCCGCAATGATGCGCGGCATCGTGAAAACACAAAAACGAATGAGCACAAACAGCAATCCTGGACCTCTATGCTGTGGACGGACGGTGGATGCGGACGCGGGTGCTTATCATGAACGTCGTCTCCCCCACGATCGGGAAGTACGGGGAAGGCGCGGCGGGCCGAGCGGGTTGATGTCTACTGAAAGTTAGACACACCAGGCGGCTGACATCGATTGAAAAGGCTCTGATTGGTTGCTGAAGACGCGAAAGTGGCATGTCTTACCAAAGTACCAGCGAAGGAGGGGTTGGTGATTTGAGTTCGTGGGCTTGCTGTCAGCGGCGATCCGTTTTAGGAAAGCGCTTCATGTGTGGCTTATCAAGGTGTCATCTCCTTCAACGGCACTCAAGACCGCGCTGGAATTAAGTTGCATAGCCATGTTCAGGCTTCACTTCGTCTAGACTCGTCCACGGGTTGTCTCTTTCAACGCTGGCGAAGAGAGATCATTTCGCTTAGCAAGGCCAGTGAAAGTGGCTTTTGCGCCACCAACAGATAATCATCCCTGGATTGCAGGCGTTTCTGTTTCCTGCCAACACACACACCCTCTGTCGTTTTCCCTTATCACGGCGACGAGTCATCGTTTCATCACTCTTTAACCAGCCGCGAGCATTAAAAACACAGCAACTCCCCCACAGGCTTCGCAGTAGTGACATCGGAGAATATTTCGTTATCATCAATGACAGGGGCTGTGCGCCAAAGGGATAGCGACTGGCCCATTGTTGACGGAACTTCATCCCGTACATGTACGTATGTCGATCACTTCCATTCCAATGCTGCGGCTGCGGCACAGCGCGAAATCCACCTTCCTTCTTGGCTAAAGTGACGTGGGCAGGCAACGTATGCGGTCATTGCTTTGCTGCCCACCAAAAACACTTTCGCGACTCCGACGACTCGAAATCGCAAACGTAAAACGACCTCAATCTCAAAGTCCTGTGAACTGCATGCGAATTTTGAATCATTTCCTGAAGCATTTCTGAGTCCCTTTAAGCTTTGCTTCCTTCCATAGTTGAACACACAGCCCTTTCCTGCTCTCGACAAGATCGCGAGATGGCGCGGGAGACATCCCCTCTGCTCGAAAATGCGGACCCGATTGAAGCGGAGACTACACCGGAGACTCCTCTGGTTACGGCAAGTGGGGAGGGTGCAGCGAAATATCCACAATACCCAAGTGCAATACTCACCGTTTTCGCCGTATGCTTTCTTGCGGATGCTGGCTCGGCGCTGCTGGGCGTTCCCGAAGTCCGAGCTTTCGAAATGGCAGTCTGTAGAGACTACTACATGGAGCACGACCCATCGGTCATCGGGGAGCCTCCCTTGTCTTACGTGGATGAGAGCCTTTGCAAGTTGAGAGAGATCCAGACGAGAATGGCGTATCTTCGGGCCACGAAAGGACTGATCATGACCATCCCAGGTGAAGCCAACTGCCTGATGCGCATGAGCCCCTTGACTTTCCGAACAGACTTTAATAATCGAGGGTGATTTCAGGCATTCTTCTAACCTTTCCGTACGGATATTTCTCGGACAGAGTTGGCCGCAAGCTTGTGGTGTTTCTTTCATTATTCGGCCAGATCCTGGAGATGTTCGGAACTATCGGGATTTGTGAGCATGATTGCATCCTCACTGATACCAAGACCAGACAACTAAGTAGCTATAGTGTACTTCCACCGTGCCTTCTCGACAAACATGGTCCTTCTGACACCAATCTTCCGCATCATCGGTGGCGGCAATCGCGTCTTGATCGCCAGTCTCAACTCAATCGTTGTGGATACTGTCCCTCCTAGTATGCGTCCAACGGTTTTCTATGTTACTGGGGCGGGTTTGCTCATTACCGAAACTGTGATGATTCCCGTTGGCTCTCAGTTGTTGCTGAAAGACTTGTGGCTAGCCTTCAAAGTCGCTATGCCTATACTTCTCGCGTCGTTGGTGCTAGTTGGCGTTCTGCCTGAGACTCATGATCCTAAACATAGTTCTGGTGATGGGGCCGACGATATGTCTGTGGACAGCTCAGATACGGTACGCGGCTGATGTTTGCCCCACGAATCCTGGTTTACTACATGCTGACCTGATCTGATGATAGAATAAACCATTCCTACACATCCTCCTGAGAAGAGGGGCCAACAATGTCAAGAAAGCTGGGCGGGGTCTCATGGGCCTTCCCAAGGGAGCAAAGGTCACACTGTCGATCATCTTCATATCCAAGTTTGCGAGAGAATGCTCGAGCCTGTTCGTTCAATACGCATCCAAGGTATTACACTGGCCCATCGCCAACGCGGGATATGTCATATCAGTCAAGAGCTTCATCTCCCTCATGCTACTTATTTTACTTGCCGGAATGTCAACAGCTGCCAGTCGCCGGGGCGAAGCCGCAACCTTGCTCCTGAACAGGCGAGTGGTCATCTTAAGCCTGGCGATGCTAGCGTTGGGAGCGTTACTGGTCGGTCTTAGCAGAGATGCGGCGACTCTAGTCGTGGGTTAGTCCTACTTCCTCCCATCATTGTAATGTGGTACGGAGATCTGATACTTCTGTTCGCTCAGGTTCGGTATTCGAATCTACAGGGTACGGATTCGGCCAGGCTCTCCAAGGCACATTGGCTTCCTTCGCAAACCCTTCATCAACGGGTGAGCTCTTCGCCGGGGCTGCACTGATCGAGCTACTCGCCGGGCTATCGGGTACCTTTGCATTCGCTGGCCTATTTGACCTGGGCCTTCAGTCCAGGTTTCCCAGAGGAGTTGGATTGCCCTACTTCGTGGCGGCAGTAAGTTACCAGATAACAAATCAGGCCTTCTTCTTTCTGACAGGCCATCTCTAGATACTTTACGCTATAGCTGTCATTGAGTCATTGTCCCTGTGATGGGTTCATTGGCGGGAGACCGACATCAAGGACTCTGCATGTATCGAAGGTTTTGTTGTGCGCATTTTTTGAGGCTTTCTAGAGAAGCCGAGCTTGCTAGGAAAAGGAAAATCAGGCATGGTTGGACAGATTCAGTAAGGGCTACAAGAATCTGGATCATTGAGACGTTAAGTGGATGGCAGTGAAGACAACATAGATATTGCGACATCTCGTAACCTTATCCCGCGGAAAGGGCCCTTCAGTTACGGTTACTATCCCAGCTCGGCAAAGAAAACAATGGTTCATCTCAATCTCGATGAATTACGTGATCGAGGAGGGGAAGAGGGGTCGTGAATCAAAGTTCAAACTAGAGCGCGGTTTCGCTAAGCTAAAATCAAGGTTGGAATTCAAGCCATCCTTTCCACGTTGATCATGTCGGCAATTGCGCGTCTTCGTAATCGCCCGAAATGTCCGTGTCACCTGTCTACTAAGTACTTGGAAATCTATAGTTCTTTCCATCCCACTTCTAGATGGAAGAAGGTGAGCAGTCGTGACCCATCCGAACACCCGGCAGCCCACATTGTTTAGTCCTCAACTCCCACATAATCATGTTCTGGTCCTCTCATGTCATCGCAGCAATGGCACTCTCTGGGGTCTTTGCCGCAGACCTCGCCCCAGGTCCCTTAACGCAACATGTCAATATTTTCACGGGAACGGCACAGAATGACGACCCTGGCAACGTGTTTGCCGGCGCAGCTACGCCTTTCGGAATGGCAAAGGTTACCGTCCAAGTAGCGGGCTATGCTCCAGCGGGATATGTCTCTGTCTCGACCGAACTGACCAGAGGCGTATCGCCGTTGCACGATTCCGGCACTGGTAGCTCTGCGGGCAGCTATGGCAACTTTTGCATCATGCCTGTCGTTTGCAAAGAATTTCTGGACTGTCCAAGACTCGAGCAGCCACGGTCTCAAAGGAGAGTGGGCGACGGTAACAACGATACAGGGTTTCCTGGATATTTCAGCACCCCGCTTGCCAATGGGGTGCGGATCGAGCTCGCATCAACCCAGGCGGCATCTCTGGAGCGGTACACCTTTCCAGAGGGGTCAACACCAACTTTGGTTCTGGATTGGACCGACGACTCCCAACACTCATTCTTGTATGGAGAGATGCATGCCGATTGGAAATCACAGCGTTTGACGATGAACGGGACGTATCGGAGCAGCTTCGGGCCCAGCCAGTTCACGTATACTGCCTTCCAATGTGTTGATCTGTCCGTTGCTGGTACTATTACAGACCATGCATTCTTCGGAGGCAATGCGAATGGAATGGATGCCATACGTGCCGACTTGGACCGGTGGGTTTTACCTCCTATAGCCCAGCGTCTCGGCAGACCGGACTTCGAACAGCCAACACAGGCTGGGGCTATCGTCCGCTTCAAACCTTCGTCGGACCAGAAAGGTTCCATCATTGTTCGTCGCGGTGTTTCGTACACTTCAACAGACGTTGCATGCAAGAATATGAAGCGAGAGCTACCAGATACCGACTTCAACAAGGTTGTAGCAGCGAGTAACGCAATGTGGGAAGACAAGCTTGGCCGCATCGTCTTGTCCGACGATACAACCGATCCCATCAGAAAGTTGTTCTACACCTCCTTTTACCGGACGTTCCTCTCGCCTAATAATGCCACTGGCAACGCGCCTCCGCCATATACTGACACTTCGCATCCCTATTTCGATGGGCTGTACTGCTCTTGGGACACGTACAGAACTTTGTTCCCCCTGATGGCACTGACATCCCCAAGAGAGATGGCCCAGATCGTCGATACCTACATCGACGGATACCGCAGAGAAGGATGGTTGCCCGAATGCAGAGCCAACAACGTAAAGGGATATGTTCAGGGAGGCAACAATGGCGTTCCCATTGTAGCGGACTTCATCGTCAAATACGCGGACCAAGCGGACAAATTGGGACTCAAGATGGACGACTTCTGGAAAGCGCTGAAGCATGATGTTGATGAAGCGCCACCAAACTGGGACTATGAGGGCCGCCGCATAGAGACCTACAACAAAATTGGCTACATTGCTTACGACTACTTAGACACCACCTCCGTGGGTCAAAGATCACGAGAAGCCAGTCGTAGTCTCGAGTATGCGTTTGGAGACTTTGCAGCTGGTATGGCAGCTCGCGCGCTCAAGCAGCCTGCCTCAGTTTCAGATCCGTACTTCAAGCGTAGTCTGTCGTATCGCAACAACTTCAACCACATTCTCCAGTCGGACGGCTTTTCCAACTTCGTGGCCCGAAGGTTTGAGAACGGCACTTTTGCTGCGTCGAATCCGACCGACTGCTCCCCACGCGATAGCAACTCAACGCGTCCCTGCAGCACGCAGGCTACCAATACGTTCGGCATCTACGAGAGTTCCAGTTGGGAATACAGTCTTTACGCACCTCACGACGTGAAGGGGCTTGTCGAACTCTTGGGGGGCAACAAAACTTTCGAAGACCGCTTACACCACTTCTTCGATGCGGGTTATTACCTTCCCGGCAACGAACCAAGCTTCCAGACACCGTCGCTCTTCCACCATATCGGGAAACCTGCAGAATCAGTCCAGCAGGTTCGACGTATTGTCTATGACAATTTCAACCTAACCCGTGGGGGCTTACCTGGGAACGATGACAACGCAGCTATGGCCAGTCTTCTAACATGGTATCTGCTGGGATTCTATCCTGTTCCTGCATCCGGGGAGATGTTGGTACTTTCGCCCTTCATGCCTGGTTATGTCGTGAAGAACGAACTCATGGGAACTGTCAACGTGAAGGTCACAGGGTTCGACCCGGCTAGTCTAGCACGCAACATACCTTCAGGCGCCCGAGCCTATGTCGATACTGTCAAGCTTGACGGTGTGGCTAAGGGTAGATGTCGTATCGACTTTAAGCAGTTTTTTGCTGCCAAGGATGTCGAGTTTGTGATGGTGGATGTGAAGAAGGTTGGATGCGATGGTCAAGAGCCCAGCAGCCTCAGTGCTGGTGGCTTCCCATTGTGATGCTTCAGAGAGCAGATGAAGATAATAGATTGACAGAGTTTTCATATCTCAACAAAATGCAAGTAAGAAATAGATGTTATAGGATGCATAGCGGTTATCATAACTCAGTTCACGCAAATTCGGCTAGGCTTCTCTGGCCGATGTCTAGAAAGTGACTTCTTACCATAAGCTTAGATGCAGCAGCATGGGCCTTTGACAGAAATGCGGAGCACAGATAATGAAAATGGTATACTCGAGTGCAGCTACTAAGAAATAGAGCATGTACAGAACAACAAAGCTTTGCGTGTGCCAAGTAAAACCATGGACCAGTCAACAAGGTGCGCCTCCAGGCGGCAAACTGCGAAGAAAAGGTTAAAAGGGAAGAAAGATCCATGGACCCATGACCAATGCCTCGAAAGCCTTTCGACGCAGTTTCCTCCCAGAAATGTTGCTCAGGCTGTAATTGCTTGACCTAACTAATTAACCAAGGAAACCTCTGTATTGCACCAATCACACAATCCTATCCTCCCATTGGCCGGTCGTCTGTGTAATACTGCCAAGCTGCAGGACCATTCGCGTCGGGATTTGGATCAGATAGAGCTCTCTGAATCTCATCAAGTTCATCTTCGTCCAAGAGACCCATGAAAGTCAAAGCAGGAATCTGATTGTGCTGAGGATCGTGATGCCCTGACCAAGGGACCTCGTCGGGATAACTCTGGGCATACTCCGAGTAGTCTGCCATTGACGAAATACTACTGCTATGGAAAGCAGAAGATGCGCTGGCCACGCCTCCGGTGTTTACCATCTCTAGTGAGTCGCCTTCGCTGGGCGTCACAGCCGTTGCATTTTGCACTTCCACGGTCGCTGGTGCGGCTTCCTCGGCCCAGGCTTTCGCAATAGCCCCCAGGCCCTGTCCCAGGATACGACGGAGGAAGTTATCAACATCTTCAACATTTGTTCCATTCCACGCTGCAACAGCACCGCTTTCTACCAGAGTGCGTCGTAAAATCTCGGGTCCGCGAGCTGTCACGTACTCTTGATACGCCAAGGCGCTGTCGGAGAGGCTTGGGTCGATGTATGCCGAAGATGGCAGAGGGGCGTCGGGGAATAGAATTTTGAAGATCGCGTACCACTGTTCATCTTCTGAAAGCTGTCTGTTTGCTCGCCTGTTGAGCTCTTGTTGTTGCCCTAGGCTGACCCCCTCGGGCTTCGGCCAAGCTCCCATCACGCAGTCCCTCCGGATTGTATGCTCATCTCTAACTGTCTCGTCTGCGAAGACTTCGTTGCAGAAAGCGCAGTATATCGGTAGATAATGCCTTCTTTTGAGATGTTGCTTGACATCGCGGATTCTGCTCAGCTTTCTGCCACAGCAGCTTCCGTACATCCGACGGTCTTTCTTGAAGTATGGACAAGCCAGGGTCTTACTGTCCGCGTCATCTTCGTTGCTTCTCTTTCGTTTGCGGTCTCCGTTCTGCTCAGTCTCGCCATCGTCGCCGTCACCGTACTCGTCAGGAAGGCCACCTCGACCAGGCTGTTTCCGTCGTTTGTTCGGCCGCCCGCCGCTGAGCGGGCCTGATGATGCCACGGTCCCATTACCTGACCCAGGACTTGTCTCCGTCCAAGCACGAAAGTGTCGTAGGATAATGCGCAAGACTACAGGCGCAATGCGGGAGAGAACTGGATTGTGCGTCCCCCCTGGGGGCTCGTCCAGGACCTCTGCCGCCCACGCGCGTGCAGACTCTGTCGTTTCTGTCACTGAGCCATAAGTCCATTCTGATTCTTCCATGGACTGACCCCCCGGTGACGGAAGACGCAAATGACTTCGTTCGCCGGCGGGTCCGATGGGTAGGTTCTGTCCCCGACCCCGAGATTGAGGAGGCATAGGATTTGACACATCCCTCGTCCCAGGATGCGCGTTTGTAGTGGCTGAGTGTGAATCGTCGGTCTTCTTAGGACGGGCTACCAGGTCTGTGGTGTGAAGTCCAAGACGCGCCCCAGCGTCTTCTTTGCGGTGGCGATTAAGTTCAATCTTTGAAAGGGACCCCTGTGTATCGCTAGATCCCGGTTCTACCGCGAGAGACTCATCCTTGTCATGCAGTAAAGTACTTGCCTTCGATGGTTCGACTACATCTCGATGAACAGGCTCTGTACTGGATTCGCGAATTGGCGAGGGATCAGTCAAAATCATGTTCAGCGCGTTCTTGACAGATACACTGTCACGCAGCTCAGCGCTAGTAACATGTTAGTGCATCCGCATCTCAGCTGTTGACCCCTATACGCACCGGAGATATGTATCTGCCTGTAACTGAAGAGGCGAAATAATGGAATCCACAGCATTCTGCAGGAATGATGGGTCTCGCGAGTCAAGTTCAATGATATCACCATTCTTCTCCGCTCTGAACTGCTGGTGAATACAAGCCTTGACAGCGTTCTCAAAAGGCTCTCCAAACTGGTTGCGGATTCTCTGGGAGTCAAACAGCTCCTTAGCTGTGATCAAATCCAGAGACTCAGAGTCGACTTCATTGTTGTCCATTATTTCATCATCGCCTGCACCTTCACAGCGTATTTCGGAAATAGTCTTCCCGAACGCAAGTTCAATCAAGCAAAGGCCGAGTTTGGCAAGGATGGGCTCGGGAGAAAGGATGGACCAGACCGATGATGTCGATAACTGTGCCCTGTTGGTTGTAATGGCGGATCCAAAGGGTCGGCGGAAAAGTAAGGGTCGCCCTGACCGATGCGAAATCGTGTCAGTCGCAACTGCCCAGTTGTCCCAGCTCCAGGAGTCGTCAATCCAAGGGGTGAGCGATAGCTGGATCACAGCGAAACTGAGCTGTACGGCCAGCTCTATCCGCCGTTTCCAGTCGAGATCAGCGCGCTGTAAACGCATCCAACCTTGTAAGGGTAGAATTGGCCTTGTTTCCTGGTCTACTAGTAGGGCTTTGAATGAACAGGCCTTGTCTTCTATGGAGCCACCTTCCTTGGGTTGCATGATGACCTTAAGTGGCTTTGCGTTTTCTGCCGTATTCAATTGCTCGAGAGCAGGGTTTGTTTTGAAGGCAGGACATCGAACATAGATGATGTGGGGATCATGACAACGGCATTTGTATTTGTCATTGAGCAGGTTGAAGGTGGTTGTTGCCCTTCGTGACGCGTTGTTGAGGCAGCGGCAGAAATTAGTCGCATGTGGCGCATGAAATGCGTGGGATAGTAAGGTCTGCCCGTACAATGTTCGGGAGGCTAGGGTCCGGTTTGTTTCGGAAACATCTTCCAGCTGCATTTGGAGCCGTGTTCTGGCATTCGCATTTTGCCCTGTTCCAAAATCCAAGAACTTTCCACGGATCTTGTCTAGTACCTCCTATACATCGGTAAGCGAATGAAGCGAAGATTTGTTTCAACTGCATTCATCGAAGCAGTTCACAGAAAAGACTCATACATTTCCTCTACCGGCATTAACAAGATCAACCTTAAGCGTATGGAGCTGCCTGGTCAGAATTTCCAAGTCGTCCAGTATTTTCGATGTAATGTTCACATCGAGCCCTGCCTGTGGTTGTTGTATCTGGGTACTATCATCATGGAAGGTAGATGAAGACAATAGCCGTTGTAATCTTTCTGAGGTCTGATGGAATACAGTTCTTTCGGTGGCGACACCCCGCTTCAGTCCGCTCGATTCACGATCAGGCTCGGCGATCTTGTAGTTCTCGACAGCCTCGGTGACACCAGGAAATATTTCCCATACCCCGCCGATGGCATTCTGGCATGACATGTCGACGGACCAACAGAGGAACAAATTGAGAAGCGAAGTCGCAAGATCGCATCCGTCATCAGACGTGGGATATTTCGGGGTAAAAAGGAGAAGCAGATGGCCCAAAGACTCTTCATTCTCTGAGACCACCACCTTTTCTCACTTTGGGGTGAGTGGGATGGGCCAAGTGTAGAGAAGACAGGATGACTCGGTGTGGGAAAAGTACCATACATACCTAGAGCTTGTCGTCCAACCGATGTGCGGGGCAAAACTGCACTTTCGCCTTGTCAATGGTTCTGCTTACTTCCTGCAGCATGCTTATCAAGTTATCACAATAAATTCATTGGTCGCCAACGCCAAGACTGGTCTGATGACCTGTGCCATACCCTCCCATTCATTCGCCTTGCTCCCCGAACACTCACATGAGGCTTGGGGGGCGACGCGGGGGTCGTGGCAGGCTCATCGACAAGCGAGGTTTTCCTCAGATATCAAACCAAGTACATCTTTTGGGACCATCTGACAGCCGCGAAGATTTCTCCCTGTTGAGAACTTGGAAACTGCAAGATTCTTTGTCCATTCAAGTACTCGTTGCACTTCTTATGGTTTACCGTCCAGATATGTGCTGAACATGCCTACAACAACGGTCACAGAGATCAAGGCCCAAAGAAAACATGTGGCCCGCACCTTCAGATCAAGAGGTCCCATAGCCGCCAAATTTGAAGACTGCCAGCAATTATTTGCCCAGGTATCGGATGCTCTTCAAAACACTCGAGTCCATCATCTCCTCGATAGATGTTGGCGGAGATTGAACATCTGGGACGATGACAGCGGCGCGTCCTCCCGGAATCTTGACTATGCTTTGAAAAGCTCGCCATTGCTCCGCAAGCAAGTAATCAATCTCCTGCGTGAGCTACGTCAAACGCTTGAAATCATTCGGGGTAAGTCAAGGCATTGGAATTGGCACATACCTCTATTTCTTCCGACAGACCTTCTAACAATATGAAAGTCATCGTGGCCGAGCCGCTCGAGGTGCCGAAACCCGAACAAACATCCGAACTTGTCTCGTCTAGGCCACTAGACAGCTACAACACAGCAGTCTTGCCTGTTGAAGCCTTCCAAGATGACCCCGAAGCTGATTCGAACTTTGGCCTTGGTCCAAGGCTTCAAGAGGCCCTTGACATCATCCATAGTCTGGTGCATCTCCTACCTACTCTTCGAAACCCTTTTGAGGAATCAGTTGCCTCAGACGCAACGCTTTACAGTTTTGAATACTGTTCACTTGATTCCTACAGAGACGAAGCTCAAGAGCTTTTCCCGCGTGCTGATCCCAGTCTCCTGGAGCGTTTGGTTCAAGCCCAGTGGCTTACTAGACGTACTCTGCCGAGCGCACGCGGTATCCCACCGATCACGATAGACCCAAGCAACGCGCCTTCTACTTCAAGAGCTTTGATGCGTCGCGAGGTTTGGCCTTCACGCCGGAGGACACCAACAGTTCCCGATGTGAATGACACCGAGTCCGATAAAGCAACTTCCACGGTACGCTCACATGTCGATACAGTAATGTCGCGAACCGCAAGAGTGGCGGGCAACTCCGTCACGTCATTCGAATGGTCGTCGCAGTCTCAGCCAATACGTCGTTCAACCGTACCAAGCCCCCCAGTTAACCTTGAGAAGCTCGGTGCTGATCATTTCGACTGCCCTTATTGCCATTGCGCACTACCACTTGCCGTTGGGGTCGTCATGACCCACAGTGATTGGGAAACACACTTCTACCAGGACGTGAAGCCTTACATCTGCACATTCGGCGGGTGTCATGCCTCAAGCGTCTCGTTTGCGTCACGGCAGGAATGGTTTCGTCACGAACTAGACTTCCACCGCAGTGTGTCACTTTGGAAGTGTGGGTTCTGCAAAACGGAGTTTGGCGATGCAAATGGGTTCCAGAATCACTTGCAGTCAACCCACGTCAACTTGCCCCTACCACAGAAGCTTGACACACTAATACGTGCCTGTCAACGGTTTTCGCACCACATCTATGCCTCTTTGGATTGTGCCTTTTGCCGCGGAATCTGCAGAAATCTCGACGAACTTGAAACCCATCTTGGGAACCACATGGAGGCCTTCGCAATTGCGATTGCCCATGAGTACAAGCCTTCGGTCGATACTTACGCAGAAGACAAGGAGAATCGTGAAATGATGATCATGGAGTTTGTCTCAGATCAGGCTTTGGAGGGCAAGGGCTATAATCTTGAGATTCAACCCCTTTCGATTGCTGAAGGTGTGGATTCTATCGACGCCGACCCCTTGATCCAGGTCGCCGACTCCATAACTGATGATGAAGGCCGGGGACAAGGGCCCAGAAGCACAGGCGGAAATTGGAAAATCAACAAATTTCTGGATCGTCAACGGGAAACCGCTAAGACCAATACCGTCAAGCACAATCTTCCTGCACAGTATGAGAACTTCGCAGGCAGAGACGAGGATCTCAGTCGCATCCATGATTCGTTATCCTCACAGAGCCGTGTGTGCGTTCTCACCGGTGTCTCCGGTATTGGAAAAACTGCTACGGCGGTGGAGTATGCTTATCGCCTGGGTATTGAGTACTCATATGTCTTTTGGGTGGAGGCCGAGTCCCCGGGACTGCTTGCGGACAAGTATGCTTCGATAGCCGATGCTCTCAACCCCGGCCGCGACAGCTCTCAAGACGATGATAATCTAATTTTCCGTGTGAGGGAGACTCTATCGGTTCTGGATAAAGACTGGTTGTTGATCTTTGACAACGTCGTCGCTTGGACCGATATCAGCCCTTACGTCGCGAAGGCCTTGACCTCTAGTCGAGGTTCTGTGCTTATCACTACCCGAGAAAATCCTCTTCAATCCGCTCCAGCATGGCTCCATCAACGCCGGTTTCAATTAGGACCCTTGTCGACCGAACACGGACGCGAGTTCCTTCTCACGTCAATCCATCCACGCATGCGCAAAGAGGATCTCGAAAACGACGAGGATTATGCTCTTGCAGCGAAGACTGTCAACATACTGGGAGGTCTCCCCTTAGCAATCAGCATGGTCGTTGGATATGTCAAAGAGTCTCGTTGCACTCTGAGCGATTTTCTTGAGATGTGGGAAGAGAAAGAGTTGAGAAGCAGGAAGCCAAACACCACTAGCATGGCCAGCGTGTACATCGACACTGTCGACTCGCTTTGGGATATCGGCATTCGTGAGGTTCCAAGTAACAGTCGAAAGTTACTCAACATTCTCGCTTTTTTGAACCCTGACCGGATACCCAAGAGCCTGCTTGTTGACAATCACGAGGAAGATTACCTTGATTTGCTCCATGCTTCTGAATCACTGAGGTTAGTCCGTCTCTGAGATACTTTGATGATGAAAGTAATATGCTGATCTTTATACTTTCAGCTACAATCGAATGATCACCAAGCTGAAGAGTCGAAGGCTTATCACTATCAAAGAGGCACCTGGTGCAGAGACTGAATACACGATTCATCGACTACTGAAGCAGAAGATCATGGGCGATATGGATGATTACAGCATCGCTGACGCCTTCCGTATGACATTCCGTCTCATACGTAAACGGTTTCCCCGGGCAAACCCCCAGCAGGTTCCAAATCCGACGAACTGGACAACTTGTCAGGAGTATATGCCCCACATCGACAGCTGCCATCAGGTCTTTGCGAAGGAGCGGAAGCGAATACAGCGCCTCTCGGCCGTGAATTCCCTCGAGGTAGCTGAGCTCTTCTACGACGCTGGGTTTCACATCTGGTCAAGACGCGGCACGCTCTACGACGGACTGGAGCTTCTGCAGACAGCGATCAGTTTGCTCGACGAGATCAACTACGATCGTGACTCGAAGCTACGTGCAGACATCAACTGCATTCTCGGCCTTTTGCTGCTCGAGTTGAGTTGTGAAGATCGCGTCAAAGGCACCGACCGTCTGCTGGAAGCACGCCGCATCCGCAAAGTTATTTATGAGCAGAACCCTGAGGATCACGATACCGATGTGTTGCGCATGAATGCCAACTCAGACTATGCTCTCTGCCTCTTGAACTATCATAAGTTTGACGAGGCTGGTGATGAAATGGTCAAATGTTTCGAACGCTACCAAGTCTGGGGACCACCGGATGAGAATCCGTTTGAGAATTCGAAGTATTATGGCAACTATAGCATTGTACTTATGTTCCAGGGAAAGATGGAAGAGGCTATTGGATCAGTGCGCAAGTGTCTCGATCTCACCGAGCGATTCTCCGGGAAAAAGGCTCAATGGTACCGCCGATTGTTCTTATTGGCAAGTATCTATCTCCAGAAGGGCGAGCTTCAAATAGCGCTCGAATATCACCTTGAGATTCTCAAGGCTAGGTTGGAGATCGACGGCAAACACGACTCAAACTTCATCCTCAGTCTTTATGCGGTTGCCTCAATGTATCATCACATGGACAAAGTGGATGACGCCATGTAAGTTCCAAATTCTATGCGTACTATATACCTTGGAAGCTACCAGGCAACTAAATTCCTCTCTCAAAAACTTTTAGTATCTACATGAAACAATGCGTCGAATGTGCGAGGGATTCAAAATGGCCAATCGTAGGTCTCGCCAGAGCAGAATACCACCTCGCAACGCTTTACGAGATACGGGGAGTTGAGCACAAAGAGGCGGAGGCTCTGAGAGCTACGTCAAGAGAGGTGCTGGAACAGAACAAACGTTTTGCGGAACAGTGTGTGCAGGATTCAGGCGACGAGCTTATGATATTTGATGATCTTCAGCCCACGCTGCTCGGGCGCTACACAGGGACGGCGCTTCTGAAGCAATTACAGACCCATCTTCAACGCCAAGAACAGACATCATAGCATACCGTGTGCTGACTGCAACGGGTGGGATAAATGCATTCAGATCTCTGGATTCTAGGTGGATGGATTGCTTCCTCAGGAATTTCGCTTGTTGTGTGTGTCTCCTTTTCTTCTATAAGGTATTTATAATCAGATCCTGCGTCCCACGTTCTACCTGTTGTGCTACTTCAGAACGCCTCTCATTAGTTGAGCTTGTTTAATAAGAGCCCGTTCTACTGTCTATCTAGTGCGTTGACGTCTATCACCGATTTTCACCTTCACCAGTCGACATGCATTGAGTTCCAGCGGCAAATCAGAAAAAAGGCCAGTTAATTCTATGTTCCCGCTTACAGCATTTACGGCATCCATTGACCGATATCAGTCACTCCTGGTTGTTATGACCTTTTGGAATGGGTTCTTTGTAATCAACAACACTCCTCTACCCGTGGCGATCCCTGCAAGAGAGCCAGCCCTGAAAGAGAATCCTCTGCTACGTGGCTCAAACTGGGGCGAATCCAATCAACAACTGACAACGACGCCAAGGTCGTAAATCATATAAACGTAGATGAGCAATTTTCTTTTCAGCTGTGCAGCTGGCGGGAAAACGGTTGTAGTGCCCAGGCTAACTGTTCACCCATAACGTATGTAAGGTCTGGGATTTTACGCGAGCGGTCTGGAGGAGCGGCGCATTGTGAGCTACCGTTCTCAATCAAGGCGGAGATCCAAAGACTCGGTGTCAAGGATTGGGCATGTCTTACAAAAACAGCGGGTGTCATGCAGCCATTGAACCCTCGCTAAAGCAAACTTTTGTTTTCCTGTCATAATGGGCAACTAGATCCCTCTCAGCTGCGAAGTTTGGATCGTCGGGCTCCGCCCCGTAGTGAGTCTTCCACGGCTGAGACAGGTGCTTCGAGCTCTCTGTGGCAGCGAGAGCCCAAGCTGGCAGAGACGGGGGCTTTTTGCTGGATGCTGCTGAGGACTGCGATGAGTTGCCGCTGATTTGTTCCGGGAGTTCTTGCATCGTGGATGATCACGAGAAACGTAAGAAGCGTTAAGAAGCCGATTCGAACGAATTACAATGTTCGTCGAGGTCAGCAGACATTTTCTTCCCTGAATGTGCAAAAGTACCTAGAGATATAAGAAGGAGCCTGACGGCCTTAGGCTTCAAGGGGTACGGGCCTAGGCTGGGCCGATCGGTATGGTGCTGCAAGCCACGTGTTACTGAAGTACCGCTAAGTAGCATTTTTTCCTGCAAGGGAAACATCCGCGCACCACCATGCCTTCTAAGACATAGGTTCGTCTGATAGGATAAATTTTCCTGAAGTTCTCGTGTTCAAATTTGACGCATTTGGCTTCCATTACCCAGTTTTCATTCCATCATTGAATCACGCTACTGCACGATGGCTTGCGGAACTGTCGATGCGGAGCTTGACTATCTTCAACGGCTACCGCTGTACCAACAAGAGAAACCCTTCCAACTCTTCGTTCCAATCCACGAAAGTGACCAGGATGCGCGCTCAACAAATCTTGAATTCGAGAAGAAAACGCAAACATTCGTTGATATCCGAGACCGGGTCGACGACTTCTCACTGGACTCACATGGATTCCAAGTAGAGACTTCTCCAAGCAGGCTCAAAGCACAGTCCTTCGGAGACCAGAGCTTGATCAGGAACGAATATTTGCCGGAAGTTGAGAATCTCCTGAAATTGGTGGGAAATTCTGACGATAGGGTTTTCATTTTTGATTGGAGGGTGAGCTTCTAGTCTCGCGCTGTTGGCCTCATTTTTCACTGACGCGATGAACCCGCCCAAGTTGCGCGATGCCGGGGCACCACGAGAGAGGGAGGACAATGAGTTGGACATGAACGACTTGGCTACGTGGCTACGACCCTCACCAACAGTCCACGTAGGTAAGTGCCACGATGCATTTATGATCGCGATCGTTCGGTCTCCAGCAAGCTAACGTCCTTCTTCCAGATCAGAGCGCATCAGGAGTTCTTCACCGGGTGCTACTTCACTTGCCAGATGATGCACCATTTCTATTGCAAGGCAGGGTGAGGCTAATCAAGTAAGTCCTCGTTATCGTCCTTGACGCCACCAACGTCCTGCCATGCTGATGGGATGGATCAAAATAGTGTATGGCGGCCGATCGGAAACTCCGTCCAAGATTATCCGCTGGCATGCTGTGACTCCACGTCAGTTCTCGACGAGGATCTGATTGAATGCGATCACGTCCGGAGAAAGTTCAAAGGCTCTAATCTCTACGCGCACCATCGCGATGGGCAGAGATGGTACTACCTCGGCGAACAACGACCGGAAGAAGTGTTGTTGATCAAGATGTTCGATTCCGACCGAAGCATTAGTGCCCAACGTAAGTCTAAATCTCTCACTCAAAGGCTAGCATACTAAATCAGGCTCTAGGGTGCCCACATGCCTCGTTTCGTCACCCTTTGGCATCGTCAGAAGCAAAGCCTCGACGGAGCATCGAAGTCCGAGCCTTGGTATTCAGTCAGATCCACGATTCAGATCAGCCGCCACCCACTGTTACGGGAGATTGATGGAGAATTCCGTGCCGGGCTTTGCCGTACACACGGTGATTCCTACTCCATCACAACGTTGTAGACCTCTCACACATTTGGTCCTAATGCTCCATGGTGGATTGAGAATGCTCAAGCACTTCTGAATTCACATGACGGTGGTCTGGCGACAGAACAGCCTTGAAACGACAGGATTATTGGCACAAGTAAAGAACATGAGAGCCTGTCCGCAATATCAGCATCTGGGTATGGTTTTATACGGTCGATTACAGGTGCGATTCCCTGATATTCTCAGTCTTCTCAGGCATAATCGCTTCCAGAAGCATAATCATTGACCGGATGGCCTTCATCTTCGACCTTGTATGGATCATGCACCAAGGACAGAGCAAATTACCGATGTCGGCGGCTACTGCATATGCGTTGTCTGACACCTGCATCAATTGCCAGAAATCGTGCTGGCGGAAAGCGCACAACTGTGCTCTGGACAGAAACGCGGTCAGTCTCAACGGAATGGATCTACATTCTCATTGGGCAACCTCGCCTTAGCTTGATCGATTGAAATGTATCCTCAGGTACCTCCTCTGAATTTAGCCGGGGCCTAGAAGCCGCCATTACAACTCGTTATGCTTGGTTCAGCCCAATTAATAGTATTGCTCACGTAAGGTGATTGTCGCACAGATGGTCAAGAATTGATATGTACAGTTGCTATCTCCCAGAATGCCTCGACCAGGTTAGTTCTTGGCCCATCATTTCAACACATCGCCAAGCTAACTAAGCTCTACTGGCAATTTCGAGGTACATTTTCCCTCATGATTCTTTGCCTGTCAATGTGTCCCACTCCAATAACAGGATGTTCGGCCTAAATCCACTCATGGTTCTTCATCTTCTTACTATCCATGATATCGATGTCGATTCGTCCGTCGTAAGCTCTTCCTTCCCGCCTTGCCCTCAGAGTATCCTTCCGAACTTCGACTACCCTCTGCTCTATTCTCCTCGTCAGCCACCACGTCCAAAGGTTGGTAGCCAACGCAGCCAACGTGATCGCAAACCCGATGAAGAAGCTGTTCCTGTAGCGATTGTACGCCCACTTCGACTGGAAGAATTGCGGCCCTATCGCCGCACCAAGCTGCGCAACACTGCTCTGCAGACCGATAGCAAAGCTTGCACCTGTCGAGCCGGCCATGATGGACGTTCGCCACGACCAATACGGCACATAATAAGAGCTTGAGAAGAATTGTGACAGTATACACGCAGCGTAGAGCCCTGCTTTACCGGAGACAGAAAAGAACAAAATAAAGCAGACAATTGTTCCGAGGACGGTGCAAATACACATCAGCGGTCGTGGCGCCCATGCACGAGAGGTGATCAGAACGCAGATCAACATGGCGAAAATGCCAGCAGCCGCGGGTGGAATATTGAGAAGCAAACTGTTTGGCAGCTTGGCGAACCCCAGGCTGGCTATGATCGTTGGTAGATACCAGCTCAATGCATATGTAGCGAGGTTCATGAGCGTCTGGTCCAGTAGGAACGCCCAAGTTGTCGGTGCTTTGAAGGCTATCCATGCCTCCCTGGTATCCCAGCTCTTGTCTGCTGTTGCAGGGGCACTAGAGGGGAGTCTAGCCTCAAGAAACTGCTGTTCGCGTGGAGTGAGCCACGAATTGCTTCTCGGGCTTTTCGGGAAATCTGGAAGCACCCAGAAAATGACGCCTGCAAACAAGACGGTGGCGACGCCCTCCAGAATGAAGGCCCATCTCCAGCCACTCAGGTTTTGCATCCCATTCATGAAGCTTGCCCCATAGCAAACAAGACTTCCCACAATGTTTGAGAGGTTGGAGATGGCGAAGTACCACAGCAGGGGCCGACCAACTTCATCCGTACGGTACCAATAGCTGAGAGTCGTGATAACTCCCGGGAACATGCCAGCTTCGAACATGCCTACGAGAAACCGCAGAGCTAGTATCTGTGACTTGGTGTTTACTGCGCCGCAGCACGCCGTGACTATGCCCCACGTGAGAAATATGCGGGATTCCCAGGCGTGAGGCGTCATGTACTTGAGGAGGAGGTTGCTGGGCAATTCGAAGATGATGTAGGGAATCTGTTAGATCCATATTAGCCAAGGGTTCATGCCCAAGGTTTGGGAACTGACTCCTTGAATGGTAGCAACCCAATTGTAGTCGTCAGGTGTCATGTTCAGTTCCGTTATTATGTTGGAATCCGAACCAGCCTGCATTGTTTTGATGATGCTAATGTTTCCGAAGTCGATATTCTTGACCATGAACATGATGCCTATGAGGACGCTATTGACAGTGAGCTAGCCATTCATCCTGGCAGTTACATGCCACCCAATACCAAAGGCTTACAAGAATCTTCTGTCAACTTTGTTCATAATAGCTTTTTCTTCGTCGGCGGTGAATGTCGCAAGAAACGCTGCTCGAGCTTCCGGGTCTTTTCGGAGATCCCGAGAGACATCTTCGAGACTGGCGAGATCTGCATGTGTTATGGGCACCGTCTTTCCAATTTCCAAGATTGATTCGTCAGCGTAAGGGTCCTTGTCGAGGTTGGAACTGGAGCGATCATTCTCTGCACTGGTGTTGTCTTTGGCGACTGCCGTGTTGGCCATTTTGAACGTCGTAGTCACCAGAATTTGGCCAAAGGAGAGACCGTCTCGGCTCTACATCAGTCTTATTGCAGCTTATACGTTGAAATAAAGGCCATCCTGGTAGCATACAATTTGACTGGGAGCTAATCTCGTGCTGCAGGCCTATGATCGCGCTTTCGGGACATCCTTTCTACGCCAAGCTTGAAGCGAGCACATTTGGCTTATCTTCCTACTACCAACAATATTTTCGGGCTCTCATGAAGCACACATCAAAATTCATAAGCTAGAAGGCTGAATACCTAGCTGCGGTCTCAAGAGCTATTGTCCGAGTGCTATCTCCGCGACAACATGAGACGCGCACCCAGAAATCTTGCGAATTCGCAGTAACAATGGCGTGATGAGGAGACATGCATGAAGGATATCAACACCATCGCATACGTCGGGGAGCTCCCGCGGGAATAACAGAACTTTTCGAGGACAACATAGTCCGAAATCGGTTGCAGGCCGATATGCGCGAAAAGCATGGTGTTTTGCGCCAGTTCGGCGTATTCTTTAACGTTGATCATATCAGAATTGTCGGACAGTCCCCGTAGCCAATGAGAACGGCATTCATGCGTTTCCTGGTGATGGAAACCCATGCTTATCAGTGCCGTGTCATATGGGATTCGATGGCGTGCCAGTAACGTCAGCGATGCTTCTCAAGACGTGCTTTTACTCATGGACGAACGAACTCAAGGCCGACAGTTGCATCTGGCTTGTCTGAGACCATACCTTGGACTTCGAACAAGATGTACAAGCTCCACTACCCTAATTCACAAGAAGCATTGCCAAACAGAAACATCAACTCATCCATTACTTGACCATTTTCTACACAATTCGGTCGACTCATCAAGGCCGAAAGTATACAACCATGTCCACTGCTGAGAAGAAGAGACTTCGGCTAGCCGCCTTCATCTACTCCGGAGCTCAAACACAAATATGGCGGCACCCGGACATGCACGCGCATGAGAGCCTCGATGTCGAATACTACATCTCTTACGCACAGCTTGCAGAAAGCGCCAAGTTTGATACTTTGTTCCTTGCCGATGGTGCATCTTTCCCGACCGGAGATCTCGCGAAGCATCTATGGAGTGTAAGCGGCTTTGAGCCTGCCACTTTGTTCTCCGCAATCGCAGCAAGAACGAAGCACATTGGTCTTGTCTATACAGCGAGCGTCAGCGACAATGAGCCGACTCACGTCGCAAGACAGCTCGCTAGCCTTGATCATATAAGTCACGGAAGAGCAGGATGGAACGTCGTCACTACTCCAGGACCGGGTTCTGCAAATCTGGGCGTTCCTGTCGAAGAAACGAAAGACAGTGCTGCAAAGTACAACCGCGCAAGATCATTCTTGACTGCTGTCCAAACGCTCTGGGACAGCTTCGAAGATGACGCCCTCATCAGAAATAAAGAGACGGGCATCTACGTCGATCTGAACAAGGTTCATTGGCCTAATATTGACGATGGACTGTATAGAATCAACCAGCCCTTGAAGGTTGAGCGTCCGATTCAGGGTCACCCGGTTATCGCGCAAGCTGGAACATCTGCTGAAGGAATAGCTTTCGGTGGCTCCACAGCCGACTTGATTTACTGCGCCAACTATTCCATCTCTGATGGGCAGAAGACATATCGCGCGCTGAAGGATGCAGCCAAAGCCGCTGGACGAAACCCAAATCACCTCGTCATTCTTACTGGCGTGGCCGTCATTTGGGGAGCAACACAAGATGAGGCGGAGAAGAAGTTGCAAGAAGTGACTTCGCTATGGCCTATCGAAGTCGCCGTCAAAAATCTCGGAATCGACTTTGGAGATATCGATACTGACTCGCCTTTCCCAGAGTCGTGGTCGGCGACATTTTCACAGGGTCGTTCGGCGGCGATCGCATCATTCGCGAAGGCCAACAATCTCACGATACGACAGACAGCGGAGCGATGTTCCATTGGACTAGGACATCGGCCGTTGGTTGGAACGACGCAGTCTATCGCTGATGACCTTCAGGCATGGCTAGAGCAAGATGCGACTGATGGTTTTGCAGTCATTCAGCCGTGTCTGATTGACGGGTTGAGGGAGTTTTCCGAACATGTCATCCCTGAATTGGTGAAGCGGGGTCTTTTCAGGGAAGAATATGAGGGTAGAACATTGCGAGAGAACTTGGGGGCACCCCGACCGGTGAACAGACACATTGAAAGCAAGTGATTGATATTTCGAGTCGAGTTCGATAGATCAGTTGAATAAGCGTTGACATCACTGTTTTGGTCACCTCAAGTTAAGTGCACACCTGGGTTGCACAACTCATCGACGAGAATCTCAGTTCAAGTGAGGATGAATTATGTCACTAAGTTGGATGTATGCATGTTTATTGAAGGCATCTCATTCACGTACAATTATGAATCATATTTCTGATCATCACATTTCGCATCCAACATCTCCATCAGAGCTTGGACAACCTGCCACCTTCGTTCGAAGTGATGGTAGGTCTTGCTGTCACCGAGAGACCTCTCAGCTTGCCGTCATTCCTCCACTTTCCAATATAGTCCAAGAAAGAGACAGTACCTTCAGCCCACACAACTCCTCGTGCTTGCTTCTTCTTCTCCTCAGGATCCTCTGAAGCTGCCTGTCCGTGTCCGTTAAAGTATCCTGGCGTGCATCCAGAAAGTGAGGAGAAGAAGGGTGCTCGCTTGGCAACCTCTTGACTGTGCTGCTCCTCTGCCTCTGTAGTCACTTCCACGATAGCTCTCTTACCAGAGCCGACACGGCGCTCGGCTTCGGATATCATGTATGTGACATGTCGAGCAATGAGACCCAACATGAATACATTATTCCCTGTGATAGTGCCTTGTGCTGTTCCAGAGAAGAAGAGATTGGGAAATTCGTTGGTAGCGTATCCGTGGAGGGTGGCAGGCCCATTGCGTCGCCATTTATCATCCATAGAGATCCCGTTACGTCCCAGGACTTGGACACCAACCCTTCCAGCCGGGCTGCCTCCCGTGCGGCCACCAGCGACGGAGTAGCCGGTGCTGAAAATAATAATGTCAACTGGGTACTCCTCGTCTCCAACTACGATGCTCGTTTCTGTGGCATGAGATGGCCCCTTCCCATCCGTGTCGACGAGATGGACATTCGGGTTGTTGAAGGATTGCAGATATTCGTCGCTGAATGTCGGGCGCTTACACCACGAGGGGTACCAGGGCTTCAACTTCTCAGCAGTCTCCTTGGCCTTCACAATGTTGCTGACGCGAGCGCGGACTGCCTCCATGTGTGGCAGATCTAAGGCATGAAACCAAGTGGCTCTCCGCTCTTCATCTTCCGGTGTTGGGTTCACAATCCCATGGGCCGGAGACCCCATCACCGCAGAATAAGCAGGCATATCAGTCCAGCCATCATTGACGAGGTTGGGCTGACCAGGCAGCACGGCGTTTGTCATGTGCCGGTTCAAGTTGATTTGTCGCTCAAACTGCCAACCCTTCTTGTTTGCGATAGTAGCTTTGAAAGTGTCGGGATCCGTCGTTTGCTGGCCTCGTTGCTTGACATAGGCCGGCGTTCGTTGAATGACATAAAGCTCCTTGGCGTACTTCGCCAGCGCGGGAACTGCTCCTATGGCCGTTGCCGCGGTACCGACAATTGCCACCTTCTTGTCTTGCAGGTTGATGAGGGACTGGTCTTCCTGAGATCCACCCGTGACATCGTAATTCCATCTGGACGTGTGAAATATGTCGCCCTTGAATGACAAAAGGCCAGGAACTTTGGGTACTTGTGGTTTGGTGAGAACGCCGGCAGCCAGGTAGACATATTGCGCTTGAGCCTGGTGCTGAATGGTATCTGAGCCTGGACCTCTTCTCTCGGAAAGATTGATATTCCAAAGCTCCTTGTCGTCATCCCAATCTAGGCTCTTTACGTCTGATCGGAAAAGAGTCTTGTCGTCCAGCTTCCATCGAGAAGCAATGCGCTCAGCATGTTGACGAATTTCGGCAGCTGGCGCGTATTTCTTCGATGGGATGTAGCCGGTCTCCTCGAGCAAAGGTAGATAGCAGTAGCTCTCGAGATCGCAGTGAAGTCCAGGATAACGATGCCAGTACCAAGTACCACCGAATCCACCAGCGGCATCGACCAGTCGGATCTCGTCTGCAGTTGCAACGCCGGATTCGATAAGGCGCACTGCATAGACCAATCCTCCAAAGCCTGCACCAAGGACGAAGAATCGAATGACTTTCTCCTTCAGAATAGGCGATGGTTTTGCGTTTAGAGTTGCGTGGTCTGCCCAAGGATCATCGAGTAGTGAATGAAGTCGCCCCTCCGGAGCTTCATTGAGGGGAAGAAACTGAGAAGCGCCCTCAGGCCTCAAACGTTTCTTGGCCTCCTCAGCGTACTTTTTGCAAACGTCTTCGAGCCTCCGAGGGTCAACAGAAGAGATGGGATCTTGTGATAAAGTGGACGTCATTTTAGACACCTGTAGCAACGTTGCGTCGTTTAACTAAATGAAGTTAAGTGAAGAACTCGATTGATGACGAGTAAGTTTGCTTCTATCGATGATGAGGATAATGGTAATCATCTAAGTCGTTTTTGACAGTTGCGCTGCTGAAGAATCCGACATATTACCAACCGTTGATGCTGACACAGCATCGTTATTGGTGTTGATAAGGCATGCCGCACGCAATCACAAGGCACCGAACACGCCATCGTTACTCGAGCACACAAACTGCAAGCGGTCGCACGAATACCGTCGGAGCAAATCCGATGTCGCTATATCTTCACGGATCGCTTCTGTTACAATGCATTGCCGCTGTACTTTCAACCAATATGATTTCCAATCACGCTCCTGTTCCGCCAAGTGGAGCTTCAGCCATTGGTGCATCAATCCCGAATTTTCTGGTCCTCAAACCGCCGTCATATTACTGTTGGCTTTGATGATGTCGGCAGCATACTCGGCTACTGCGTACACAGTAGCCTGCGTGTGGGCTGCGGGCAAGATAGGCATGACACTCGTGTCTACAACCCAAAGCCCCTTCACACCATACACCCGTAGCTTGCTATCAACAACGCCACCCCACTCCTTAGGCATCATAGCCGCTGTTCCAGCAGGATGATCGAAACTCGAGGACACCCAGGACTGGCGCATAATTGCCTCAATCTCAGCATCGCTCGCGGCGCCTGGACCAGGCATCATCTCAACCGCAGCAAGAGACTTTACACTGGGACTGGACATGAACGCGCGTGCCTTCGCTACGGCTCGGATGAGTATGAGGCTGTCGATCGGATTGGAGATAGTGTTGAAGTCGACCAAGGGGGCGATTGACGGGTCCGGATTTGTGCTATTGATAGCGATTGTGCCTCTTGACAACGGCTTTTGAAGAGCCACCGGGACGGACTCGGCGCCGCCAAACGTGATCTCTACCACCCCCGCTTTGGGGTTCAAGAACTGCTTTTTTAGAGCATCTCTTTGTTGTTCGAATCCTTTCACTAATGCCGGGTTCTCGGCGTACACTTGTGGCAAGTGTTGTAAGGGTTCTTGCTGGCTGAGAGCGTCGGCAATGTTCTGATAGTTGCTCGAGTCAAGATCTCGCAACGATGTGAAGACCACCTTGTTCCCCCAAGCATGCGAGTGAGGTCCCGTCTTATTGGCTAGATATTCAGCCCATGACTGATTGTAGAATGTGGCGTTGTTCATCAATGTTGGGTTTACAGACGTGTCATTGGCAACTTCACCCAGATCGTCAGTAATCGGGCAGGATGCAAAGCTGGTCAGAAGGGGGCAAATGACTTACAGTCATAGACCATGTAGACGGATGGATGGTCCTGAAAGTTGGCGCCAACGCCAGGAGAATCAACAGTAACGTTGATGCCAAGGCCTTTCAAAAGCTTTGAGGGCCCAATTCCCGAAAGTTGAAGAATCCGCGGTGTGTTGACGGCCCCAGCCGCAAGAACCACGTTTCGCGATCTCACAAATCGCGTTCTTGTTCCATCGCGGCTCGCAACATCAACTCCGGCCGTCGCATTGCCTTCGAACTTGATCACACCGCCGTAGTGTCGTACAAGAAGATGAAGATTGCTGCGGTCACTGACCGGGTTAAAGTATGCAGTTTCAGATGTCGAGCGCGTGGCGTTCTTCCCGCCGGAGTTTTGAGATAACCAAGCAATCCCGACGTTGTCGCCATCGGATCCATCCTTTAACCTTGGGACTTTGATGTCTTCGGCCCAGGCTCGAGCTTGCAGGTCTTTCAGGTTGGTCAGTTTCTGTTTATATAGTCCCATGCTTGATATTCCATTGGACTAGAAACGTACCAGCCGCAGGCCACTGCCATGAAGGGAATCCAACTTGGATGGGGCCATTTCCATACGCATCTCGGTTCCAGTCGTAACCATACTTGTCAACATATTCCTGGGAGGGAGGAGCAAATGTTGAAGACTTTCGAAAGTACTTCAGCATGTTGTTCCAGCCCCATCCAGGATTCCCCAGTGCTTCCCACGCATCATAGTCGGCGACTGAGCCTCGATCCCAGGCCATGCCATTAACGCTTGATCCTCCGCCAACAGTAGCGCCGATACGGAGTCGCGAGGTTCGGTTTCCGAGATGGGCTTGAGGAACCGAAGTCACATTATAGAGGCGAGCCGACTGGTCGTAGGTGGTGAAGTATGGTACAGTAACGTTGATGGTGTTTGGAAAGTCACCGTACTCGACGACCAGGACAGTTTCTTTGCTGATGTTAGTGACATCCGAAGCTTAAATCATCAAATCCAGTCGGCTAGAAGGTTCGCCCTAGCGAAGCAAACAACAAAACAATACTAGGTAGAAGTTAGTTGAAATTGTACTCACTGGCTGGGTTCTCGCTCAGCCTGTTAGCCACGACGAGCCCACTTGTTCCTCCGCCGATTACGATGTAGTCGTATTCCTCTGCGACAGCGTTCAGGTCAGTCTTGGCCTGACTGGCGCAGGAAGCCAGAGCCGCACTGGTGACAAGAAGTAGTGACACCTTCGCTACCATTGTACCACCAACAAGACGCATTTTGGTGAGCTACGACTTCAGACACTGAAGTAAAATAAGAATGCATCTTGTGTTGTGCTACCTAGATATATATGCATCTTACAGTGTTGACAACCCCGCACCGCCCACCAAATATGGCAGGCGATAAGATTTGCGATGCCACATCATGCAACCCACTATTCGCCCGGTGTAGCATGACATGTCCTGAAAGTTATGACCGGTCTAACTCTGCTGCCTAAGGTCTCATTGACGAGCGCGTTGTCCCAGTAGGTTTCATCCTTCGGTAAAAAGCTGCATAGAGGTGGGCTATCAGCCAATCTTCAGAAATTTGACGACGTCATCGTCGTCCCTTGCATTTCTCACTTCAAGAAGTCTTGGAGACTATGCACGACTCCTTGCACATCCTCAAATACATGCCAGTGGCCCACATCAGGCAGTACAATTTGCTTAGCTTTGCTGATCTTCTCAACGTACGCCTTTTGTCGGATCTCGGGCGAGACTGCTTCATATTGTCCAGAAATAACCAGCGTCTCGACTGCCAGTTTCTCAAGGGCCAAACCCTCCGTGGCATTGGCCAGAGCGGATGTTGCCTTCGCATACCCTTCGGGGTCTTGACCAAGGAAACCCAATCTTACCGCCGCAGCAGCGAGAGGATTAGTTTTGATCGTGTGATCCGAAAGCCCCGACGGAGATTTAAGGATGATGTCCATCCCCTCGCTCCTGACCTTGGCAATCGTCGTGGAAAGAGTTTTGACTATCATCCCCGGAAGAGGGAAAGGCGGCGGCCCCATGAGCACAAGCTTTTTAACAAGAGACTGATACTCGATGGCAAATTTGGCGGAAATGATGGATCCCATTGAGTGGCCGACCAAAACGGCAGGAGATTGCGCAGAGACCCCCGCAACTTCGAAGATGCCAAGCAAATCAGCAACCAACGACTCAAAGGTGATGGTGCTGAGCGGATGGGTCGGGCTGAGGCCGTGGCCTTCGAAGTCGAAGATGTGCGCCGTGAATGCATCCTTCAGGTCAAGTGTCATGGTCAAGGGTGTCCAATACTCTTTCGAGGAGCCAAGACCGTGAACAAAGATAATGTTTTGTTTTCCGGCTCCCGTTCTCTGATAGTTTAACGGCTTTTCGTTGATCTTTGTCAGTCCTGATCTGCCTTGAATCGATCTTGCGGCGTTGTTGGGCTTGAGAGCTGACTGTGCAGAAAGTCGCTCGATGGTCGTGTTGGCTGCGGAATGGTCTGCCACTCTGTTCTTCAAATTCCCAATGCCATCAATGGAGATTGCGATTTCATCTCCAGGCGACAAAAAGACTGGAGGATTACGTCCAATGCCAACTCCTGCAGGCTGGCCTGGGTGTTAGTACAGGTATGACAACACGCAGAGACGTACACGCACCGTTCCCGTGGCGAGGACATCACCAGGTTGTAGAGTCGTTCCAGCAGACAATGTGCTAATCAGATGGGGAATTGAAAAGATGAGGTCCTCTGTAGTGGCATCCTGGCGCAGCTCTCCATTCACATGAGTCTGGATGCGAAGAGTCTTCGGCAAGTCTTCCCTGGGCACTGCTACAGGGCCCTACACAGCTGTCAATTATATATCTCAAGACGTACTCCAATCAGGGTTTGCTTACCATGGGACAAAACGTGTCGGGAGACTTGCCGATGTAGAATTGTTTGTGGTCTCTCTGTCTTTCTCTCGCCGTCAAATCGTTGATGATAGTGTAGCCCCAGACATAGTCCCACGCATCCGCCTCACTAACGCGAAACCCAGCCTTTCCGACAATGACACCAATCTCACCCTCATAATCGGCGCTCTCAGTGAAACCCTTGTGCAGCAGGATCTCTTCGCCATCGGCAATGATGGACGTTGCGCGCTTGGTGAAGATCACAGGGTGGCTGGGCTTATCGACCTTATCAGAGCTATCGTATCCTGAGCTGTTGAACTCTTTGGCGTGCTCCATGTAATTCTTGCCTACTGCCAGGACGTCGCGGCCTGAAATTGGAGGGAGAACCTTCACATCCTTCAACGGAATAGGAGGGTCGATTGATGCCGTGATGTTTTGGGTGCCCACTTCGATGACTTGGTACAAGTTTTCCACGGGAGTGCCCGAGAGAAAGGCCAGGGGCTGGATAGTTTGCTGAGCATGGTCGAGATGGCCAATCTGCGGGGTTGAGCCATCTTGCCTAGAGAAGGCGATGTAGTTGGTCAGGCGAGACGATTGAGGTGACATGATTAGCGGCTGTGAAGCTTAATCAGAATGAGCTAGAATGATGGCTGGTGAAGATTTCCGTCGAAATGCGCCCTTTCTTGGCAGATCCAGATCGGAAGACTGGCCGATGATACCATTTCCTGCGAATCTCATGTTCAGAAACGACCCCACAGCAGGTAACGAGCGATTGCAACGACCCCCACCACCTCAGTGAGGGGTTTCGGCCGGCAAGCGAGCATGACCCCAATTTGTCTGTACACTGATATGTAAGCACCATGTTTTGCCTTGAACATGAAGCCATGAAGCTTAAAGAGTTGCGTCTCATGCCGTGGGTAAAAATGCTGTAATCAAATCATAAGACTGCTTTCTCTTGAATGTAGGTAAGTAGGGTGACTGGCAGGTCCCAACCACTCACACCGCTCTCACGAGGATAATACCAGAACAAGAGAGACGGTTATCAATCACCTTGTCGTAATGAATGCGAGCGACTCTTTGCGGCAAGGAACCAGGCGGCCGCCATCCCAATTCAAGCCTTCCACGCAGTACTAGTGTCCGCCGGTGCGATGCCTGCCGACAGACCTATGAGCATCACCCAAGAGACCACGGAGCAACCCTTGTCCCATTGTCGCATCGAATTCTACCGCAGAACAGCGCTAAAACAGAAGGCCGATCGCAAAGCCCGGAAATCCCAGTGCAAAAGTCGGCCTTGAATCGCCGGTCATTCCACACCACATGGCCTCTGGCGGTCCAGACCACCTCCGAGCCTGTAAAACCCACCCACTTCGCCTTCACTTCGCCTTCAACTGACGTCGGCGCTATCATCTCCCAGACAAGATCGGCTTGCACGCCTGCGTTATCCGCGTGCTCGCTTGGGCCGACACCACGCACCGGCTGCTATCTTGTCCCCGTTTCGCTGTGGCTAAGACGTCATCAACGCAGAGCAGTGGCCAAAAACGATTGAAAGCTTAAGTTTCAGACGGAGGCCGGAGCTGACAAAGGGCGGCACTAGCACGCGGAACCGACGACTTGTCCGTTGTTGCTCATCTGCCGGACTGCCTGTGAGTCGATCAATTGAGGTTAGCTTCCGTGCGACTAGGCGGTGGCTCTGTCCGATGTGGCGTGCGAGGGTGAATTAAGGCCGTGACGTACGCGCAATTGGTGAGAGAAAAAGGAGGAGCTTTGCTGTTCCCAAATTTCGTGAGATCTCGAGGCGTGTTGGCTCCGCCAGGACTGCCTTTTTCAACCGCACATGCACGACGATCATCTCTCTTCTTCCAAATTTCCAAATCAGCCATGGGGGTCGTCAACTCCATGCTTGTCAAAGATGTTCAAATCTTCGACGGTACTAAAATAGTTGAGCACGGCTACGTTTACGTCCTGGATGGAAAGATCGCAGCCGTTGGCGAGGGCAATTTTAACGGTGAGCTTACCACGGGGTTCACAGTCATATCAAAACCGGGACACACCATCATACCCGGACTAATCGATGCGCACATACATGCCCTGTCTGGAAATGTCAACAGCATCGAGCAATCACTCCGCTTCGGAGTCACCACCGTCTGCGACATGCACAATGATCCAAAAGACAATGCGGAGTTGAAGAAGGTCCGTTAACACATCTAGTCCATGCGATTCTCCGGCTAGTATAGACTAACATGTTGAATTTCAGCTCGCGAGTGAACCGTCAAACAAGGGAAAATATGCAGACTTCAAGTGTGCTGGACTTGGTGCAGTCGTTGAAGGTGGCTGGCCGATCCCCGTGATGAGGAAAGAATTCTCCTACACGCCATGTGGTGACCACATCGTTGACAAGATCATTTCAACCTGGCCCATGCTCCGCAAGCCAGAAGATGCGGAGCCGTTCGTCAAGCAGCAAATTGAAGAGAACGGCGCAGCGTACATAAAAATGTTCCACGAGCTCGGCGACACTCTGGGCATGGATCTCCCCCGGCCTCCTATGGATATTCAAGAAGCTGTCGTAGCCGCTGCCCATAAACATGGTGTCATCACCACTGGACATGCCTTTAGCTATGCCGGCGCGATGGATCTGCTCCGTGCCGGAACGGACGGCTTGAGCCACATGTTCCTCGACAAGCCGCCAACGGATGATTACATTCAAATTATGCTGGAGAATAAGGCGCATTGCAACCCCACACTCGGTCTATGTGCCTCTCAGACGGGCGAGGGACAAGACATGCTGATGTCATATATGAAGGACCCATACGCAAAACGGTTCCTCATCCAAAAGGAACCAACAAAACCTCTCGGGTTAGCTGTCGGACAGAAGCCCAAGGCGAGCATCGCGAACGCATATGCATCAACAAAAGCTTTGTACAAAGCAGGTGTGCCTCTGATCGTCGGTACCGATGCTGCTGGCAAGGGTCTTGGCTTGCCGTATGGATTGGGAATGCACCTGGAGATGCGTGTGTTGGTGCAAGAAGTCGGCATGTCTCCTCTTGATGTCCTGAAGTCAGCCACTTCTATCACCGCTGATCGACTTAAGTTTCATGATCGCGGAAAGATTGAGCCTGGAAAGAAGGCTGACTTAGTCTTGATTAAAGGTGATGTCTTGAAAGTTCTCGGCGACCACAAAGGGCGATGTCTACCAATCGAGGCTGTATGGAGAGAAGGAGTGTTTGCATCTGCAGTCTAACTTTGGTTACATATTCAGCCAGCACACAATACCACCTTTTTCAGTCTTTTCATATACCATGCCCTTCACGCATGACTTTTTTCCCCATGCCGGGTACAATTTTTGCAAGGCCTGAGAACACGATCGTTTGGGCTTACACTCAATTGAGGGTACAAAATGTTCACCACATGACTTTACAGAGCAGTGCCTCATCACTAATACATAGACGCTAAGACTTAGCTTCCTGCGGACGAAATGATTCCAATAGTTACCATCAACTTACCAAGTTGACTTGATGCTCTGTTGTTCCCGATTCGGGCCCTCAATGATGTCTCGCACAAATGCTCAAGTCCAAATACAAATAAACAAACACATGCGAGGAGAAACCATTCCTCATGTTTCCAAGTCTTTTTCTCGTTCTCCAACAGCGTCTTCCCATCGAGAGAGTGCCCCTGTTAGCATTTTGTGGACGTCTTTGCCAAAGTCCGTGGTGTCAACAATGTCCCTAAATGTGGAATTAGCTTTCCTCCGAAATCTTGAAATGAACCTGGGAATTGACATGGGAATGAGAGCGTACCGATCAGCCTCTGTCTCCAGTTCTTCATCCAGTCTTATCAACCGCTCCTGTCCAAGTTTGTCTTCATTGGAGAAGGGTTGGTCGAAGAACCGAATGAATTGTATACCGACCCAGTTTCTCTGCTTGTCCTCTTTCTTGATATGTCTGATTAGGCGTCGGATGGGGAAATCCACGCCACAAAATTTCTCATCAGACTGCAAGTTCCAATGGCCGTTTGTCAAGACATAAATGCTGACTTGCTTTCGATTTTGGATGACCTTGGTGGCTATCAGGTCCAAGCTCGATTGCATGTCGCAGGTATGATCCGAGAATTTGCATTCTTGGACAGCTTTCTGAAGGTCCGAACTCTTTCCTGACCTCACATTCGGCTGGGCTGACGTGAAGTAAAGATCGAATGCTTCGTCTGGATCGGCTCCCCCCTCTTTCAAAACATACGCAAGAACCCGGCAAGTCCGACCTACAGCCTCTTTGTGGTTCTTCATAGATGCTGAATCATCAACGAGGAAAATCTGTCGCCGGTTATCTTCTTGCACTTTCATTATCTCTAGGCGTTCCTTGAAAACTTACTTGATCCCGTCCTTTGTCCCCCTTGACTTTATTGACATCTATTGCTAGTTGAGGAAATATTTTGAATGGATGCCTGCCACGCTGCTTCTTGGGAGTCGGGTTGAGATATTTGGAGAGGCCTGTTTTGTCTGCCAGGCAAATGTGCCATACCAGGTCAACCGTGGCAATGAGATCTAATGACTGTGGGTTAGTGGCCACTGTATGTTGCGAACTCCCTCGATCAGATGGTGAAGGAGATCGTGTATAATTATACGTGTCCTCCAAGGCTCTGCTTCCTGACGTCATGTTACTTTCGAGTTGAGCTTGATTATATGAACCAACTTCGTTTGCGAAACTCTGCTGAGCGGACCTATCTCGACGTCTCGCCGAGTGAGACGAGCCGCTTTCTTCCATTCCAACAATTGTGTTCGTTTTCGAGACCGTGTTCATACTGTCAGTCTGTAGTTGAGTAGTTGACTGAGGTCGTGAATCTAGGCCAACGCCGCTGTCCGAAAGCGTGTGCCTTCGTGATATTGAGTTTCGGTCGGTGCTTCCAACTGAATGGCCAGTGGCTTTCCCGTCGGACACTTGGCTCGGCCGTGGAGAAACAGATCTATGTCTTCGGTCTTCATACGTCCTTCCTACCCTCAACGATGTTGTCAACCGCGGGGGTTCTTCCGATAATTCTTCCTGGGGCGATTCCGTAATTGAGATACTGGGAGTGTGTCCTGGACTTGGCGACGGGGATAAAAAGTTGTCTTCGGGGATTGTGGTGATAATGTGCAACCCTCTTGATTCATGTGGCGTGGCTGAGATAGCAGGGGTTGTCAAGGATCTGACGGGGCCTTGTGACACAGAATCGCTCACTAAACATTCTAAACCATCCGTCTTAGAGTTTGTAGATGGTCCTGGGTCTGTATGGTTCGTAGGAAGAAGTGCGGGCCGACTTGGAAATAACAGGTTCCACTCGTTATAGAGCTCAGCAGCATCAACTCGATGCTTTGGTTCAGCAACGAGCATCCGACCTAGAATGAGATTGCTCAGTTGGGTGTAGAAATCAGTGTCGCCTGCAGCGGTTTTGATTGCTTTTTGGTGCCAATCCTCAACTGTGTTTAGGACACATGTCCCGTCGTGGAATGCGCCTACATGGCATCCATCCTTCAACACGGTTTGTTGTGTGGCTTTGATACGGTCGTTATGATAGCGCCAACGCCCACGGTCGCCCTGAAGGCACCAAACCAGCGCTTCGCTTGCAACGCAGCCTAATGCCCAGACGTCATTATCTCCTCTTATGCCTCTTGTGCCTTTGTTATCCACGCAGGCCTCGGGTGCGCCTATGATTCCTCAGTATTTCGTCAAACGACAAGCTTGATAACTTACTGTACATTCCGTTGCCTTCTTGGTCCATGGCATCTTCGTCCAGACCTTTGTACCTCATCCTTCGGATATGGCCAGTTCCCATGTCTGCAAACTTGAACGCGAATCCATGCATATTTCCGAAGCCCTCATTACAGACTAGAATGTTTTGTGGATGTATGTCTTGATGGGTCCTATCATGGTAATGTCAGTACATCAACGTAACATGAGCAGGCAGAAATAAATATGTACCCTCGTCGCATCCAGGCTCCCTTCGAATATTCTTTCGAATCAGTCAGGTTGTGAATACGCTCTAACCCTCTGGATAGACCCATCAAGCAATTCCAAAACAGCTCGCGCTCCGCCTTACTTTGCGGAGGAGGTTGATGTTCGAAAAAGGATTCCAGAGTGCCACCATTGGCATACTCTAGTATAATTACCCGCACATCTAAGCTTTGAAAAGAACCGTAGTATCTCATGATGTGATTGAATGAGTCTTCCTTGATAAGGTTCTTGTACATGTCAACCTCATTATCGTACATGACCTTTAGGGTGTCACTGCTACCCCGAAGAACCTTGAATACAACAGTCTAGCAGAGTATGCATTAGAAGTTTTCTCGTAGGAGCGATTTCTTTGGGGGTTGTTAACCTTGTAGGCGGAGCATTGCTCATGCAACGTCACTTTGTCAAGACAAATATCGTCACGACGACCGGACTCTCTCGGACTAATTCTTTCTGTTTTCGAAACTGGTATGATGTGAAAAGGAGATAATTCCCTCTTGCTTGGTTTTCTTTCACTTCGACCCATGTTGAGTGTCAGTGGACAAAATTTCCACTGGGATTTCTGGAATCGCTCGAACACTTCGCGATCGCTGCTGGATTCCGAGGCTGCAGTTGGTGTTGCTAGTAGTGGCAGCCCGCTGTCATCCACATTATACCGAATGAAGACAGATATATCTTGATGTCGCGCCATGAACGTCAGGACAGAGAATACAACGAGGTAATGTTCCCTGATTTCTTGGCCGGTATCCAGGATGTGAGGCTCCGTGTTGCAGAGAACATTTTCAATTTTCTCGATAGTCCAGAATCGGCGAAGTTCAATCTGTGGCATGAACTCAACGTGGTCCCTTTCTGCACTGTTCCCGTAGCAGTCGTATTCCTTGATGTATTGGGCGACATGTTGCTGGAAATCTTTCACAGCTCCGACAGGTTCCATAATGCGAGAGGAGTGACACCGACCAATGAGCAAATAGGAGGGATAGATATTCGATAGAAATTATCGTTAAGCAATGCCGGTTTCTAGTAAGCAGTTGAAGTCTTGTGCAATGCTGGTGACGGAGATTGGTGCGGTCCCCTGGGCGTGCTGCCTACTTAACTGGTGAGCCTGACGACGGTGCAGGTTGCCTCCAGCCTTATTTCCATTTTGGAAACATCGGAAATAATGTGAATAAAATGGCGAACCGTGTAGGCGACCGGTGGCTTCAACAGGATTGTGGCTGCCAGACCGCAGGACATAAATCGTAGCCCCCACTCCCCCTTCAGCGCGACATTTTGCATTCTTGATTCGGGAGAACCAGTTAGATTCAGGAAGCTCAGGGATTATTTTGCATGGTTTTGATCCCGGTTCCCTAAAGCGCCTCCCATTCGTGGGTGCCGTAGCCTGCCGCATGCATAAGCTCATCACGCCGACTTGGCAATTGCCTTGGTTTGTCGAGCTGGACTTGGCTACCACACCATGACGGCTAAGTCGGTAGCCCAGACGCTTGACGCACGTGTGAATCTTACTTCCTCATATCGTTTCCGACATGGCGAGAAACCATACGAACCCAAAGTATGCCACAATGGCCTCTTCATCAGCGAATTTTGCCGGCATGTGGGTATTGACAGTGTGGCGAGGTCTCAATGAGACGTTGTCTTCAGGGAACAGTTCCATTGGGTGAACACCATCCAATTTCACATGTATTTGATACTTGTGCTTCTAACATAGTAAAGGCTTCTGTTGGTGGTTTCGCCAAAGTAACTCCACGGAATCACCCCATGTTCTAAAGGTTGCTTGTTCTCCACCTCAGTCTCAAGTACACGAATAGCCATGTTCCAATAGTTACGATAGTCAGCGGGATGGTGATCTTGATGAACAGTCGAAAATTGTCACCTTGCCACTTGAATGGTGCCTGCATGTCCTCCGGTGTCTCTTCGTTCCAGAGGAATACACCGCTCTGAAAGAATGTCTGGCATTTCGTCAGAGGTTCAGATAAAACTGGATATTGCTGGAACGTTCGCTCTTACTGCTACAAAAGTGGCTGGCAAGAAGAAAAGAGTAGCGACGGTAATGACATGCATCGAAGTTGTTTGTCGTGAGGTTTTGTCGGATATTATTTGCATTTGCTCGCTGTTCTTCTGGGCATACTCGGCGAGTTTGGTGTTAATCTGGTCACTTCTCTGCTGTAAAGCTTTGTCGTACTATGGAACTTCTGTCAGTCAACCTCGTTCAATCTCCTATGACTCCAGCACAACTACGAGTTGGTTACTCACCAAAGATATGCCTTGTTCCAGGTTGGCTGCCAGACATTTCAGTTGTCTCGAACGCGTCTCAAGCATCTTTGAAATGGAAGCAATCTCTCTCAAGAACTCGTTAATAACAGCCTTGCAAGCATCCATATCCTTGAACTCGGTGGCAGCGAGGTTGTCATAGTGGTCCCCAATGTTTTTGAGGACGCCAACGTTGAGATCCAAGATCAACATCGACTTCTGGATTGTCTCTGCATGGTGGTGAAGAGACTGCATGTGTTTGAATCGGATATCTTTCAGCATTCCTCGAGGGTCTAGTCCGAGGGACGAGCTGCTGGCGTTGTCGGCAGATGTTCCCTGTGGTGGCCCCTTTTCCAGGTCTGTTGGTAAATCTGTCTGCGTCCTAGTCCAAGATCTAAGAGTTGAGCTTGTAGCACTCATCATCCTAGAGAGCATTGGCGACTTTATCACGGTCGTACCAGAAACCATAGTATTGGTTTTTGATGGGCTAGTCTTTGAGTTCGTTGTTGATTTCCGTGATATTGTCTCCCTCATGAGCTTCGGATAGATTTCTAACCCGTCTTCACCGACGTGATCATCGACAAGTGCTTCCCTGGCTGGCGCAATAATGCGTTTTACGGCTCCTTCTATGTCGTTGATAAATTGGCGCCAATTCTCGTCGCACCAAGACAGGTAAATGACATGAGTGGCAAGAGATACTTGCAGGTGGTGTGAGATATCACCTTCGTTCAATTCTGTCTTGGGCGGGACGTTCAGAAGGTGTCGAAACTGCAAGATCCGCTCCTTGAAAAGTTCGCTTCCTTTAATGTTGATCCAGAGGGCTCTTCCGGTCTTCAAGTCGAATGAGTGATAGTTCGCAGTTTGTCGGAACTTCCAGTTTAGTCCTTCCTCTTCATTCTCTGAAAATTCCACAGACCTCAAGAGATACGAAACTCGGGTCTCACGTCCAGACCTTCCAAGCTTCTTCAGTTCCCGGGACTCATTGGAATTAGCGCTGAGAATGTTCTTTCCCCTGAATTGGGAGAGACAAAGATCAACAGGTTCATCCTGCTCTCCAAAGGCATGGAGTGATTCAAGAAAGTAGGGATCTACTTGGTGGTATGCGCAAGCAAATTTAAACATATCCACGGAGCAATTTAAGGGTGATCTCGAGTCTGGTGACGCCAGAAACCTATATGGATCTCAGCAAAAAGCCGTGCATTGTCTAGGCCTTTGTATCACTTACAAATGACGGACAATAGGGTCCTTATCGCTCCGAATAAGGTGCTGCTTCAAGTCATTGACACCGGAGATACTGGTCTCTTGGGCAGGGAATTCTGAACAATTCATCAGTACCACCGTGGTTTAAGTGATTGAATGCGGGACCATTACTATTGAGACCTCCTGTCTCCCATACGTCGATGTTTTCATGTGTGGCGCAAAACACAGTCTTCTCTTTCTCTTGAAGCTTGTCCCACTGCGTTTCATTATACCATGCCTCTTGGGGACTTTGGGTGTGAAGTTGGAATTTTGGATACTCTTTGTATCTATGACAGAGTTCAGCAAACTCGTCTTGTGGGTCGTGGTTCTGCATGATGTTCCGAGGGGCAAGAATGGAGCTCTGAAGATGGTTCACAGTCATTGATTGAGACTAAGATGCACCTGATTCTAGTAGAGCGGGGTTGCCGAATTTAATGTGAATGATGGCTCAAATAGGCGAATAAAATCCCCGTCTTGGATTCTCTGGGCATTTTGGAGCATAACTGGCCACTGGGCAGGCCACGGTTCCAAGCCTGGCAAGGCATAGCCATAAGGCAGAACTACTAGCTATTACAGCTGGCTGCACATAGCAGGCGGATAGATACAGGTTTGCCCTGTTAATGCAGGCTACCTGTGGCAGGTATAGCGGGTTCTCAACGTTACAGGGGTCTAGTGCATATTGGATCACCTCAGCCGCCAGTTGTCTCGGAGTAACATGAGCTTGTCATTGAGCAGCAGGTGGATGTGACCCTCGTAATTTGACTTGGCAACTAGCAAACGAGCATACATGGAATTCAAAGCCTCCTCACAAAAGTCCCCGTGCTTCAAGTCTTCTTGACCGGTGGGTTCCAGGCCTTTAAGTTCTTCAAATGGTCTATGTCGCTCTTGATTTTGTAGTCAGTAAAAGGATGTTAATGGCAGAAAGAAGGTGAACCAAATCTACCTTTTGCAGCTCCACAGGCGCAAAGATCACAGCTTTTATGCCTTTCACCTAGTATACCAGATGTTACTAGACGGAAGTTTAAGGATTGCTGCTGCTCTACCTCAATTTGACATTGCTTCCCATGGTTGTGCTCGAGCCAGGATGTGAGGACATCCAGCCTGATTCGGTAGATCGAAAGGACCGATCGTACGTTCGAGTCCTCCATCGTGGTGAGACTATGTGGCAGTAGACATCCGCTAGATGTTTAACTCAAAGGGTATTGTGCGTTGGGCGAAATTCCATTTCATCGGTCGAGCCCCGTGGATATGCGACTGCTGAATAAATGTGGAAAAACGATGGTCACCGGGCGAAGCTTCAGCGGGAAGACAACCACCATCCTCTTTTCTCGCCAAGAAAATCTCCATCCGACCTTCTTCTTCCATTGATGTTTACTGGCGTATCATTGGTCGCCTGATCTTACACCGGCTGACCGGCTGCAGTATGCGGCCTGGTGGTAACATTCCTGCAGATTGCGGCATGTAAGACCAGTTTGGAACACCGTCACACCCCGGTATTAGTTGAGCTACGCAGCCGCATTATGGTGTCAGAACTTGGCTTCGCGGTACCTTGTTCGGACAGACGACCAATGCGATTTCTTCCCGATGCTTAGGGCCTCTAGCCGGCAGCCTACTAACAGTGTCTCGGTCGCCTCTTGAGTTTGCCTTGCCGCTGCCTGGAAGCCTTAGTATGTCTCGAGACCATTCGGGGCGATCATTCGTCGACACCACCACCCATCATGGAGGCTGCTTATCTGTGGCCCGCATCACGAAAGAGCCCAATGCAATGCACATGAAGCTGAACTTTGGTGGCGGTGAGGTGCATGTACTTGACGGCAGAGGCTCAGAACTCGAATGCAAATGTCGAGCGGGCTCACGACCAAAGAAATGTGAGGGCTACTAAGCTGCTCTTACATCTGAGCTCTGGCTGCGGCCGGGCATCTACAGAGAGATAGATGTCACCCGTGCAGGATCCACTGCGGTAGCGGCACGGATTGCAAATGGTGTGCCTGGGAACGCTGACAACTCTCAGGCGGACTACACCATTTAGTCAGCCCAGAGCAGGTACTTCTTAAGCCCTCGCGGCTCTCCCTCGTTGTAAATCTTTCTAGCTTTTAGGATGACGTTGATGGGGAAAGAACCCCACTCTTCGACAGTCCAGCGTATTCGTTGAAAAGGCATGGGCAATACATGAAGGGTTTGAAGATGTGTCCCGGTCCTGGCAATGGATCCCTTAGAACCTGTCGTCTCTTCATTAAGACCATGAGCTTTATGAGTTGAAATATGTCAAAGAATCTCACAGATAACGATATCACTATCTCGGATGACCCCCGCACTTCACTGAGCTGTTGGTTACTCTGCCACATTATCTGACTGGTTTGAGGCTCCGATAATGGGTCCGCCAGATTCCCCGCATTGTCTTCTATCAAATGGCGAGAACGGAATGGCGATGATTGAGATCTTTGTTGTGTTTAATCCTCGCTTTCGGAATGTCGTGAAAACAGGGTGAAGCCTGAAAATGACTCAGCGACAGGGGCGCACATCACCAACGCAACCTTGAACCATGGCAGAGTGGCTGGGAAATGTTTCCCCGCAGATTGCTTATCTTCGCTTGTTCAACCATATCTCTGCTGAATTGGATGGTTTTTCGGTCGTTCGACTTTTAAAATGATCCTGTTTTTGTAGGTTTTGATTTGGAAAAACTATCGATACTAGGTTGTCGTCGGCGTTCATAGCGAGTTTTCGGAATGTTGTGCAATATGGTAACGCGCTCTGCACTGACTATTTCGCTTCTTGTCGGTTCAACGTAAGTGAATGCCAAATTGCTCTAGGTTGAAGACTCACGATTCTGACATTCAAGGTTGGTAGTGTGGCGAGCTGTTCGGCCTCCAGCTTCAAGAACCTGGCTTTCGGAACTTTGACGAAAGGAACCAATCATGACCTCGTCATGAGACGCTACCTTGACTTTCACGGAATCTCAGAGACATCCAACATTTCGTACTACGACTCTTTCTATGACGCCGTCGCTGCGATGAAGAACGACACCCTCGACTATGTCATGATGAATGCCGTGCATCCTCAAGCTTCATCAATAGTTGGCAGCGACTTTCGCAACGTCTTTATCATCGACACATTCATCTCCCCTAGCAAGCCGCTTGTGGTGGCTACCAGGAAGGACGTTGCGGACCCACAATCAATCGGCATCTTGTACCCTTCTGTCGCCAACTACACCGACACGAGCAAGTGGTCAGACGTTGTTCAGATCACTTCCGGTGGACTGGTCCAAATCGCGCAGGACCTTCTGAATGGGAAATATGACTCTGCAATCATCTACCAGGACACGGCGCTGGCGAATTCGGATGTGCTGCAGATTGACGAAGAGCTTGGCTCTCCCGACGACGCATGGCTGCTTCTGGGCCGAAATCGGACTTACACGAACAGTGTTCTGGCTTGGCCAAATGCGCCTGTAACATGGCAGTGGAAGAAGCAATGGTATTGACGTAGCATCGGCGCGGTGAATGACGGAGCGACGCTTTGATAACCATAACGATGAGGGATGCCCTCTTAAATCGCTACGGCCGGTCCTGGTCGCCAGGCCATAATCACGTATCATGAACTATGCCAATTATAATCAAGTTCTAATGCCCATTGAGTGATGCATTCTCTGCCCGAGATTCCCCAGAAATTCGGCGATCTAACAGCAGACCCTGGTGGTAAAGGTAAGGGAGGGATTGCGTGCCCCGCGATCTGCAGTGGAGATCAGAAACACAGCAGACGCGCTCTGTCGCGTCCGTCTTACAAGGTTCAAGCCACCAAATGACGTACTTGTCAATCGACTCTCACAACAACCCAATGGTAATACTGCCCTTTGAGAGTGGCCGAATGGTTGACAATACTGTTTCTCGTCCGCCACAATGAGCTACTCTGCGCCTGTGTCGGTAGGATCTGATGACTCGGACAGCGTCAGTGCAGGTGAGTCCGTTTACGGGGAGTGGAAGGAGGACCTGTTGGCGTGTCTGGAAGGCATCAAAGCCGTCGGCGACATTGCCAGCTTCTCAAGATACCCCGCCTTCGCCAACCCGGGCCTCAAGATCGGAGACAACCCGCCCATCCCGCTTCCGCTAGCACCCCGCGATGCCGAAGTCATCAAGGCAGCCTGCAGGCAGGCTCCGTTCGGCAGGGGTGATGAGACTGTCGTCGACACGGCGGTTCGAAAAACTTGGGAATTGGACCACACCCAGTTCAAGCTGGCCAATCCAGAATGGCGCGGTTTTCTGACGACTGTCGCCTTGGGAGCAGCCAAGGGGCTCGGGTTGTCGAACATCAAGCTCAACCCACACAAGCTCCTCCTCTACGAGACGGGGTCTTTCTTCAAGAAGCACAAGGATTCTGAAAAGGAACCTGGCATGATTGGCACGCTAGTCATCGTTCTGCCCTCGGAACACCAAGGGCGACGTTCACATCTCATTCGGATCGGATGTGCGGAGTTTCTCAACGGCTCCATTCTCGACGTTCGACATTACCGCACTCGCTTGGTTCTCCGACGTCTCGCACGAGGTCAAGGAGCTGGTCTCCGGATACCGTCTGGCTTTGACGTACAACATCGTTCAACAAACAGGAGAGCCGCAGTCTGCCGCATTTTGGGGCCAACAGGCGCAGGAAGTGAAGAAGATGTTGCGTCAATGGGAGAACAACTTCCCCGAGGAGGACTTTCTCGTCTATCCCTTGGACCACAAGTACTCAGAGTCCACAGTCTCGGTGCAGAACATGAAGGGCCGCGACAAGGCCGTTTGTAAGGTCCTGCAGAATGTCGGCTCCGAGAGCGGCGTCTACCTCCTGTTCGGACACATGACGCGCAGCGAGCAAGGAGCGATGCCTCACTGGTACGGCTACGGCGCTGAGGAAGACGATGATGACGGGGAAGACACCTACACGACCATGAACAAGATATACTCTGCGGAAGGCGATGAAATCGATGCCAGGATTAATCCAGAGAAGGAACAGATTCTGGACATGGATAAGTTCACTTCCGGGAACGCTGATAGCGAGGACGAGGGAGAATTCACTGGAAACGAGGCCGCTGAAAACACTCTGCGGTATCACAACTATGTAAGTCCCAGACAACCTCTCAACTCTTCTAGGCATTTCCGTAATGACACATGCGAATTCGTAGGTCGTGGTTCTTCTGAAGAAGAGGAGTCTCAGGCACCACCACTATGGTTCTGCAAGCTTGCTCCAATTCGAGAACTCCATATCCATGGTGGCAAGCGACATGGAGAAGCATATTGACGACAAAGATACAAGAACTGTGGCTCAAGCCTTTTTACGTGATTGCATTGAAAGGCGTGGCATTTCAAAGAACGGAGTCTACATGATAATTCGTTGCGCTATGCAACTCGATGATAGCGAGCTCTTCCGCCGGGTCATGTCGTCTGCCGCCAAGCAGAGCGAAAAGACTCATTCCAAAGCTCTCGACATGACCCGCGATTATCTGGAGGAGAAGTTCGCCAGTAACCCCGACGCGGTGGAGTGGGACAAATGGATCGGCACGTCTGCCCAGAACAGTCTTGGAACCCTGCATGCTACTGTCTCGAAGTTGTGTTCTCGATTCAAGTCGGAGGCATTGCGAAAGTCCTTCGCTCAGTGGGGGCTAGAGAGGCTAAATGAGAAGCTTGAGTCTCAGGAGGTGATGACTACCGAGGAGCACGTATTCTTCACGCATGGCCTAAAGGTGTATAACGATAATCAGGATTGGATCAAGTCTACGTACGAACCCCGCTCTCTCTTGTTAAGAACGGATCGCTAATACGTGCTGCTCAGACTGCTTCAGACTCTCGTCGTTCGAGGTACACGTGACCTTCTCTATCAGGTTCTCTCATTTGTCTTTGATAACAGAGAGAAGCCTGAGTACTTGGACGCAACGGAGGTGTACGAATATGTCCTTGACCAAGGTCCCGGTTGCCTACTTCTCCAAGGCCCCGACCTTATCCCCAGGCCTATTCGGGCCGGCGGCGCGTGCTCTGGCCCTCTCAGGGAGTTTGCAGCCATATTCAATAATGTCCTTGACCTCGGCCTCAAAGCACATGGAAACAAGCTCTTGGATGCACTCTGCAATAACCTGGTACGACTCAAGGCGGAGTGCAAGCCAAAGAATATCGGCGGAGACGTGGTGGTTAAGCTCATCGGACCCCTGATGACAGCCTTGGAAAAGCACAGCATCGCTCCCCCTTCCGCGATGAAAGACCTGTTGCAACTTATTCTGGGTGAAGGTCTACACAGACAAATCCCAGCCCGCCCGCCAAAGCCATTGGGTTGGAAGCACAAACCGATCAACAAGTGCAACCGATTCACCGGTGCCTTTTGCCGCGCTTTTGATGAGCTGCATGTCTTCTTGGCCAACAAGAAAGACCAGGTCTGGAGGTATAAGAGTGGCGAATCCCTCCGCAATCACGTCGAGGCTATGCTCAGGACCTCCATCATTATGGGACACTTCAAGCTAACCACCGAACGTGTTGGGTTACCATATACGCTGGTTGTCGAAAAGACGGGCAAGGAGTACGCAGACGAGCTGGACTGCTGGAAGGAAAGCTTGGTGACCCTGGAAGATCAAGTCAAACCCCTGGTGGGTGACATGGTGGCTGATATCCTGGGCGATGAAGCATACAGGGAGCTGATCCTGCTCGAGGAATTGCGCGACGGGAAATTGCGCGACGGGGAGGTTGGAACTAGTGTTGCTGGAACGAAACGTACTGCGGATGGAGCTTCGGACGGTCAACCTAAGAGTTCACGCCTGCGGACGTGAGCTATTTGGAAGACAAGAACTAGATTAAACATAATGAAGCATTTTCAATGGCATGCCGTTGACGATGGTATCTCGGTCCTATTCTTCCATTCAAGTAGTGTATCATATGGTGGTATTCTTAGATCACAACGGAACGAAACACAGTGGAGACCCCTGCGACGCCCAACGTCAAGCAAGCTGCGGCCAACATGACAGATAGCCCGCCGGCTGGGCGAAAACGCCATGTGTCGTAGAGTCTACCTTGCCACGTGGGTGCTAGCGGGACCCAATATCTGCAACGGGGGAAGACATGAGATGATGGACCGACCCAGCGCGAGGCTCTTTTTCACATGCTGGTGCCGCTCATGCAAGAAATCGACTCAGCAGAGTTACATATCTGGTAAATTCGAACGAGCTTGGATACCCGACTCAAGTCGTCTACATCATTAGCAGTGATATCGACGTGTGAGGTAGCATGGTTTGTCGACTCATTCATGATACAGAGCATCACGCAATGCTGTTGAGGCATACGGTGATAAGAGGGATTTCTGAGTCGCTTATCTGACCTCATGAACTCTGTCATGTCTTCCTGCCTTGGCAGCTGAGTCGACGACTTGTGCGGGAAGGCTCGGTGGCCCTTGTCTAGCGTGAACTGATGGCCCAGCATGCCGGTTCCAGCGTATCACCAACTCCCACAGTCTCGCAGAATCTCGAAGCTTAGACGTCGGTGCCTCCTTTTCACCCCAAGTTCCACCAAAGCTTCATCCTCCTTCTGATAGAGATTTATCAAAATCACCAGGGCTAGATCAACCATCTCAAGTCCCGCGAGGGAGCAGTGGGTGGTGCGCGGGCTCCCAGGTTGGCCCGGGAAGAGGCTTGGTCATGGCGTGATCGTCTCAACTCCATAAGCGAAGGGAAGTCTCTTTCCAGTCGTGTTCAAATACCTCGGCAGAATTAAGGGAAGGGCAGGACGGGCCGCTGTCGTCGACACGAGCTCTGAATAGTTTCTGACAGCTCGAGGTTACGATAATCACGTGAAGTTGCCTTCCTGCAGGGAAGCGGGGCAGAGATAGAGACAAGATTGTGGAGAACAGAGAGCGTGTGGGTGTGAAGTAAGGTAAGTGGTGTTGTGAACGATGGTTTGAGTGAGCGGCGTGGGTGGTGCGTGTATGTGTTGCGTTCGTGGATCTGCCGCAGGTTCTGAAACAAACCCTCACTCAGGTAAGCTAATCTGTCATCGTTTGAACTTGCCGCGATCCATGATCAGACAGGAGCCAAACCAAGCTAACCAAGTTTCCCGTCGCACAAGGTTCCCACTGTGCTCGCATTCGAAGCGCATGCTTTTTGCTGCAGCTTGACTTCTGGTACTGAAGAGGCATTTAATTCGGACAGCGGGCATATGCGAGTGCTATGAGCTGAAGTAATCGAGGCGGTGTCTGCTTCTTCCTCTTCCCCTCACAGAAAGCCGGAAGTTGGAATACGTTGAATGTTTGATGTTGTCGTCGTTTCGGGACGTGGTGCACCCCTTGTCATCTTTCCGCGTTATCTTGATTTGGGAAGAGGGAATTTGTTGCCCAAGTCATGCGAATCGGGTACATGGAATACGATACGCGGTTGATAGGGTTTTGCCTCTCGTAGATTGATAGCTATCCGTTGCGAGCTGTCAAGCTTGCACCCACCTCCCGGGGACCATGTCCGACTCATTCATGTTGCTGATGCTGCGCTCCGCGATTACTGCAAGGTAAAGTGCTTTGAGCAAATCCCCAAACGTCAGGAGTACAGGATGCAGCTTACATGCATGTATTCGGCGATTTCAGAGCTGAACTGCTGCAGAGCTCAGGCTCGGGCGTTGCACCGCCTCCAGGCCCCCTCCCGGGTCTCACGGATGAAAGACATCATCGCATCATCACCCTCCCGTCACCCCGGGTCTCAGCACAGTCTGGTCATTTGGGAAGTATTACTTGATTGGTAAGTTTGTCATCTAGATTTTGTTTTTCTCATGATAGGCGCATGTAAAATGACTGAGCCTGTGTTGTGTATCTCTTGTGGGAGGGACGGAACCTCTCCCGAGTGAAAGAGCAAAAATGCATGGACCATCGTCGCCATCGCGGGGTCCGGTGAGTTTTTAGTGTTTGGTTTTTTTGAACGCCTTTGCTGTATTGCATGATGGCCAGATCCCGCCCCCAACCGTTTTTTGTCTTTGCGGCCATTGCTCCAGTGGGATCCCATTCTGCGCCGATTGCTCGCTGTCCCGCTTCGCTTTCTAGTTCATTTCGTTTCCCCTGTCTTTGCGTGTGTCGTCGTTAAAAATTGCAGAAAATGTTGGTTGCGTAAGATGAGTGATGGGTGTTTGGTGATCGGTGATTGGCGGCTTCAGTTCTTCACCCGCGAGTCCCGGGCCGGACGACTGGCCCGCTCGACCCGTCGATCGCCATGGGTCGACCGGGGGGTGGCCGATCCCCAGCGCTCAGCTTCAGAGAGGAGTCCTTCCTTGATGGCGGCGCCGCGTTTTGATGCCTGATGATTAATGAGTATTTTTTGAGCTGTGGGTGAGTGGTGAGTGAGAGAACATACTGCGCAGAGATGACACCTATCGCCGAAGCGGGAGACGGTGTTGTGGCAGTGGATAGAGCCCTGTATGGTATCACGTGAGACTAAGACCTTAAGACAAAGAACCGCCATGGGGAGGCTCACGTAGTAGTTGGAGCAGTAGTAACCCATCTTGAATGTGTGTGTTTTTTTTGGCTGGGGAAGTAATCAGATGAAAAAGCTGGTCAGGTGGCCGTCGAGATGGGCGAGTGCGTTGAAAAAGCGAACTTATTCTTGAAACTCGAGGGAGGGGAGGGATGGACCAGCCGGGAAAGGGAGAGAGAGGAGAGGTTGACAGGAGGTGACAGCTCGCCGATCTTCAACTTTTCTTCTTTTCGATTTTTCGATGTTCGCGGATATAGGTCAAAGAAAAGAAGTGCCAAGTTACCTTTGCGAGCGCAGAAGAGGGACGGACAGGACTAGAGAGACACTTATACCATGACACGGCACACCTTGGGACACCCCAACGCCACGAGCGCCCAGACGCAGCGGCACTGGAGAATTTGGGTAGACCAAGGCAAAAAAAAAATCCATTAATAAACACGCTCATTCACTCTTGGATAGTCCGGCAAGCTTCCTTGCGGCAGCAGAGTAGCAGGCTACTGCCACTTGGTCCCGCTTTGCGTCGTCCGCCTCAACGAAACGAAACAAGCCTCGGAGACCGTGACACCTGTCCAGGGCTACCCCTTTCACAGGGCCTTCCAGTCGGCTTGTGGCCCGACGAGCAACGACTAAGCCTAAAAATTATCCGACGAAGGGTTAAGGCAGAAGCCATTGATACTGTGTGGTCCAGGGGGGAGGGGAAGGGAAGGGAAGCAAGACATGTGTGAAGAAGATGGCAGACGGGCAGAAGATTGAGGGGGACGATGTTGAGGTCTCGGTGCAGCTGTTGCGGGCCCCCAGTACCACCATAAGCTGCGACGAAGCTGCTGCGGTGGTTGCAGTCCAGTGGTCCAGTGCAGCGCAGTGGGCAATGGGGGCCAAAGTTTCCGTGGTCAGTGCTTGTCCGGCACGGTTTCCAGCTTGCCGGGAACCCAGCGGTACCCCTGGGCCGGCTCTTCCCCCTCCCCTTCCCCTTCCTGACTTGGGGGCCCTCTTTGTTGCTTGCCCTGGGCTGGGCCGGGCCTGGGTGGTGGTGGTGGTGGTGGTGGTGCTTAGCTGGGCGCTCTTCGTCTGAGCGGGATGGCTGCTTGTAGTTTGTGGCAGTCCGTGGGAACCTTTTTCTGGCCCCCTGGTCCCCGTCGTCGTCGGGCGCGAGCGACTCGCGACGTTTTGGACACTGTTTGCTCCTCTTCTCTTCCTCCAAGTACCTTGGGAAGGGCCGGCAAGCAGGGAAAACAACGGCAAGAGAACGGACGGGACGGGTTGACCAAGACACAAGACGTGCCAGGGCTGGGGCGGGTTTGCGGGGAAGATCGCTGGGCAACACGACGGGTAGGACGGTGGGAGAGGGCAAACACTGTGGACGAAGGGCGTTCCTGGGCTCGTGCCGGGTTTCAGATGAGGGACGAGGTGACTTGAGTTAACTCGAGTACTGAGTACGGCAACTCAAAAGTACGGACGGAGTGGCTGATGTGTCTACGTGTACACGGAGCTTCGTGGAGGCATCCCGTACTCTGTACCCGGCTGGTCCCAGAAACAGCAACGTAAGACGAGGAGTGAGAGAGTGGTAGAGACGGTTGCTGCTATTTGTGGTGTTTGTCAAATGCCTTGATATCAAGTTCGGGGGAGGGACCGGCTTGGTAGGCTGGTGGAGATCGGGGACCTTCTGTCCGGTGACGGATTATGCGGATGGAGTCGGTCGAGACCGTTTGGAGGGTCCACGTCAGCCATCTAGACACATCTTCTATGCGGTGGGCACTGATATGGCTAGATTCATTGACTCAAGATGGCTCTAAGCCGCAACGCGCCGTGGCTTTGGGTCTTGATGTTGGTGTTGGCATGTTAAGCTCCGTCATTCTTCATTTACTCTGGGGCTTGGGGGACCAAGCATTCCTCTGCAAACTACTATGCAGTAGGTAGTAAGGTAGTTTTGCTGGCAGAGATATGATGAGTACATGCTAACTTTGACTAACCGAATCGATATAGTCAAAAGACGGGCCGCCACGGCGCATCGGGGCGGCTTATTGCGGTTGTAGATTCAGGTGAGGGTAAACTCATTCATGGTGAAAAAGAGCAAGATTGAGAATGGGCGCTGCAGTGGCTGCGATTAGATAACGACGCCCTGGACGCCCTGGACGCCCTGGACGCCCTCAGCAGCAGCACCGCTGTACGGCGCCGTAGACTCGACACTGTGCGGCACGTGCGCGGAAGCTAGTGGAGGCCTGGTGGGGCACCCTGGCACCAAAGCTCAAACTTTCTGGGAGCTCCGGGAGGAAACTCCACCTGTCAGCTTTTGGTTCGATATTCTTCTCTTTTGTTGCTTTCCGCAT